ATACAATGATGCAAACAATGCTACCCATTTTGCTGACCATATCAACTGTATTGAGACCGGCAATAGGCGTCATGTGGTGGTCTTCCTCTCCTGTTGGTCAACCACTGGCAATAGCGCTGACAGCAGCCATTTGGTGGAGGACGTGGCTGGAAAGGAGCTGGCAGTATTGGTTGGAATTGCTGCTGCATTAAGGCAAGTTGCATCATTTGAATCTGGTGTTGTTGCTGATATAGAGAAATTTCAGGTTACCAATGTAAGAATTTCTTGTTTGTGCTACAGGAGGAGCTGCTTGTGGAGGTGGATTGGGTGGTGGAGGTTGGAGCTGTGGAACCGGTTGTGGTTGTGGAACCGGTTGTGGAACCGGTTGTGGTTGTGGAAACTTGGTTGTGGTTGTGGAACCAGTTGTGGTTGTGAAGCTTCAACTGGACTGGTGCACAATCTACACAAGCAACAAATCATTTGGTGAGTACTTCTGCCTGTGAGGTTTGAATCCAACAATGTACTCTGAAAAGTATCTTTCTCCATTATCCTCTGGCAGTGGTTCTGCATTTGGAAATGGTTCATCCAGACCAACAGCCTTTGCCATGTCATTGGAGTAAGCCAACTCTGGATGGTTCGTTATGGAACAACTTTCTCCCATCCAGCTGGAATTGACTTCCTTTCTGCCTCGCTGATTCTTGACAGGAAGGCTCTCTTGTGGCGAATCTTGAGGTTGTATCTAGCAGTGCCAGCAAGGTTGAGTGCATCAGCAAGGCTTCTTCTCATTCCACCATTGCCAAAGTGGGCAAACTTGTCATGGAAAGCTTCTAACTTGGATTCTCCTCTCCTTGACAGGTACTCTGGAAGCTTGTGCTTGGAGTTGGGAGATGGCTGGATTGTATCATACATTTGCTCCATTGGTAGTGGATCAGCCAAGTGGATTGCTTTCTCAATGCAGTTGTCTACTGCTGGTTTGGTGTCTGGAGTGAACAAGGTAAAGTTCTTGACTGGATCCAGTCTTCCTTGGCCAGGTTGGCTGCCCTCACTGGCTGTCACCTTGTACCTGCAGAACCACTGTTGTAGCCTTTGCCTCATTGTTTCTGGCTCTCTCATCTTCTTTCCTTAGGAACTTGGAGTATCTTTGACGGAAGACCTTGGATGATTGCATGTCTGAGATCTCCACCATGGAATAGTGCTTGCCATTGGAGGACAAGAGGCCATGTTTCAAAGCATAGAGAACCTTCTCAAAGTCTTCTGGTAAGTACTCATAGAGGCAATCCAAGAGAGCATTCAAAGCTTCGAAGTGGTCAATATGTCCCTTTCTCAAAGTTGACAGAATCCTTTTCTCATAATGGAACAGGCCAAGTCTTCCCTCGATACCTGGAAAGAGCAGCTCCCAATAGTCATCCTTGTTGGGCCAGGTGTCACTGTACATGGCAGCTGGATTGAAGTTGCTCCTCTTTGCTAGCTGCATTGCTGCATGGGAGAAGTGGATGGTCTTTGTTGTGGGAACAAGGACTGCAGAAGCTATCTCTCCAGTTTCAGTGGCAGCATCCCAAACAGCCACTGCTCCAACCTCTCTCTTCATGTAGTTCTTGACTGGTTGGAAAGTGTGGTCCTGACAGAAGATACCCTTGTTGCAGCTGACACTTTGGATCTCCCTTGTGTGCCTTTGGTTGTCACTGATCCTCCATGGGTTTCTTTTGGATGCAGCAGCCCTATCAAAGAAGTCACGGATTGTCTCACCAAGAGGAGGGTATTGCCTGATGTAGTTCCATTCCTTTGGAGAGGAAAGAGGAGGTCTCCCCTCTATTACCTTTCCAGTAAGAATAGTAGACATCATTGACTCTGATAGCTACTCTCTGTTGATTGCATTGATAGATAGGCGACTGCATAGTGTCCCCATTGCCATAGGTAACCATGATAGAATCAAAAGCTTCTGTTGCCTCTCTTCCCAAGTGATAGTCACTCTTAGCAAAAGCATACTTGGACTCAACTGGATACAACAAGGAAACATGCTCTGGGATTGACACCATACCTCTGTTGTTGCATCGAAACCTCCTTTGCAGCGTCCACAAACCATAGGACATCACCATCACCAAAAGGAGGACCCATGCAATGCAAAGATAGGAACAAGAGTATTGTTCTTTGGACCAGTATGCATTCTCATTCTTGAGTTTGCAAGCATCTTCCATCCGGACAAGCTACAGTATCCACATCGATTCCATCCACCAGAAGCAGTTTCTGCCAACAATGAGTGGTAAGTGAGAGACTCGAATTGCTCCTTTGTGGATGGACTGTCATGGTGAGTCCTTCGAAGAGTTCCTTGAATGGCTCCTGGTTCTTTGATGTTGACCTTGTAATTGATTCTGACACTGCTTCTGCCATTGCTATCATTGCCAGTGGTGCTATTTTGTTCTTGTGCTTTTCCACAAAGGTGGAATCCTCAACCAGAGCTGTGACTTTCTCGCAGAACACAGCTGGAGTGGCCATTACCTTGTTCTTTCTTTGAGTTGCTGTTGCTGTGGCTTTGGCTGTGTTGGTTCTAGGAGCAAAGAATGCTTCTCCATTTTCTCTTGTGGAGTGCCTCCAGCTTCTCTCTCATTCAGTGGAAGAGGAGCACTGAATTGCCTGTGAGTCTCCTGCTTTCCTTGATTGTCTCCATTGTCAGCGCATTCAAAGGTCTTGTCTTTTGTTATTGTATTCTTAATACAGAAGACGAGTGTGATCTTTGGGGACTCTGAGACCAAGATTGTCTGGCCTTACAGATGACACAGTTCTTGGGTGGATCAAAGACTTCTGCTACCACTCCTTCCAGTGTTGTTTGCGGTCCTTCTTCTCTCGCTCTCTTGATGATCTGGTTGTTGTTGTGGCGAGTTGGAATGCTCTCTTCTGTTGTGGATTTCGATTCTGACTCTGGCAGCCCATTCCTGTTGTTGGCAGCGCCAGTTGTGGTAGCTGTTGTTGTTGTGTTATCCATGATGATCTTTTGCTGCTGCTACTCGCTTTTTTTGGCAGAGATAATGACTGTCGAGTGTTGCCGGTGGTGTTTGTCATTGTCGATCGCGACGGAATCTTCTTCCTCTCCGAAAACAACAACGAATTTTCGAACTTTATAGCACACTGTATCCGTAATAACTATAAATGGTACGTTAAGTATATTTGAATACTTCCTGACGTATTTAGTGTTCTTCGGTACTCATCGACCAATCAAATTTCTGCCTTTCACCCCTTTTCGGCCATGCTCTCAAGTTCTGGCCACCAGCTCGGTTGAAGACCAGGTACCAGGTACTAGCTACCGGTAGCTAGAGTGATATGCACTATAAGACCCACTGCAAATTAAGACCATCGTAATATTCTGGGTTTTGTACAGTAACTTCTATAGTAACAGCTACGACCTAGCCAGCTACTAGCTAGCCTACGGTCGTACGGTAGCAGCTACGATGTACACTACTACCGTAGCAGATGACCATTGCTCAAGCCGTGTGTCGAGTGTTGGCTGTGTCGATAGAGGAAGGAGTGCTGATAGCGATAGAGGAAGCAGTGTCGATAGAGGAAGGAAGGAGTGTGGATAGAGGTACCTTTACCGTAGACAGAGGTGCTTCGAACGTACCGGTAGCGCTCTGGAGGTACCTCCAAGAGGAAGAAGGAGTGTGGATAGAGCTACCAGTAGCTACTGTATGCATAGTCTAACTAGCTAGAGGCAGGAGTGAGGTGCTTGCCGTAGTACTATTAATATCATGTGCTTATGCATGTGCTTCCGAGCCCTACAGAGCCCCATAGTTTTCACTCGATAGAGCCGGTACCGGTACAGTAGGATCCTACGTAGACTCAGTACTAGAGTCTACCTGTGACGTCATTGGTCTTAATCTGCAGGGAAAAAGAATTCCCTGGGAGCAGGTCAATATCTTCAACCGCCCGTAACTCCACCAATAAGTACACTATGAAGTTGCGAAATTTATGGCATACTCAGCTACATGTGCTCTATCCATTCAGCTACTTACCAGTACTATATTTGATATCCACCTCTGAAGAGAATAAATCGGCGAAAGGTCCGTCTTAATGCGCATATCACTCTAGTAGCTCCCCTCTGCCTCCTCTATTAATACCTGGTATCTTCAGCTTGTTTTGAGTCCACCCGAAGGAGCTCGAGAAGTGAGAAGTAAGTCTTCGACTACTGTAAACGGGATAACGGGATTCTTTCAAGGATATATGGATGTTAACTTGGTATTCTCACTGGACGAGGCCGTCATTGATACCAGTAACAAAGAGGATTCCCAGACAACTGCAAGTGAGGTAGGTGGAGCAATAATAAATAAAATCTTGTCTATAAATACCACATATTCCTGATAATACTGTTGTGCAAACTGAATACCGTCCTCCCCAGCTGACTGCGATTACAATGGTAAACGGTACGGTATTGTAGCTCTTGCGATTGAATCAATGAGACTACTAGTATTTAGAGACTGCCAGTTTCTCAGTGTAGATCTGTCAGACCCCGAACACCCTGAATTCTCCTAGAACAATGTGCGAATGCTCATCAGAGTTCTCGAATTGGATGAGAGCAGTTCCCACATCATCAGTGGCAAACCAGAGCTTCGTTCATACCAGTATGAGCTCCAGTCTAAAAACTAATTAAACTAATCTATGCAATGCGTGGCTTGCAGCATTCTCTGCTGGATCTATGCATACTAAGTAGCATCGTATTATAGTGGCCTTTGCCGGTTCTCCTTTGATTCCAAGGCTCTGGGAAGTTTCTGATTCTGATAGCTTTCTGATCAGCTGTTTCCCTGGTCCCACAACAATTCTGATTCTTGGCTCACAAATCCAAACTACCAAACTTCCAAAGCCAAAGCAAGCTAGAAGCAACCATCCAAAATGATCCCCAACTGCATCATCGCTGCCGGCTATGAAATGGACGACGTGAGCGCCATCGACCTCAGTGAAGTATTCTTCGTCGCAGAAGAGGATACTGGCTGCCGATGGTCTCGGCTGCGAGAGAGAAGCACCAAGCCTCGATACCCCAGCCGTCGTTCTAGCATTGATCGAGTTGATCAGAAGCAAATGGAACTCAACTGCTGTCGACGCGCCCCAACCGCTCCTCAACGAAAACAAAGCATTACCAGCATTTCGGAAGAGGACATGGCAGAGCTTCATGCATCCTTCCACCGAAGCTGCGATGAAGCCCGGCCGATGCGAAGAACTCTTTCTACCGTTTCTGAAGAGACCAAGGAAGATTCTCTTCCTTCAAAACCCAGGCGCCGAGCAAGTGTTCAAAGACGCCAAAGAGGAACGCGACGAACCACTATGTCTGCTCATGCAGCCTAATTTCATAGCTTAGACGTCCGAACCAAAAGATGGACGCTAGTAACCTGTATAATACGGTATCCAAACAAACAAAAACTGAACCACATCAACTTTGTACAGCTAGTTCGTATTCGATTCGGGAAGGCAGCACAATAGGACCACCGTTACCATCAGAAGTTTTGGACTCGGCTCTTGACCATGAGAAGAGCTCACCGGAAAAAGTGGAACATGACACGGTTCACGCAGCAGAGCGGCATAATTGGCGCAATGAGGGTCCATTGGGACGAGCGATCGTTGCAGTTGAAACGAGACGAAGGAAGCACACATTTGGACTACTACTAAGTTAAGCTCTATAGATACTTACGAGAGACGAGGCATGTCCTTTAAAGGCAACTGTATCGTGTTGTTGCTAGCTAGGCAACACGTTTTGCAGCACCCGAGGTGCGTTCATGCTACATGCAGAACAGGCGACCACTATACTGGTACAGTCGTAGAGGTCTCCCGTCGCTTCAAGCTGCCTCAGTGAACCATACTAGCTGGTACTCTACTAGAGCATTGGCTGCTGCCAGTACTGCTTGCCCGGGAGCACCGGTACTACTAGTGCAGCGTGATGCGGATCCAAGCAAGCTATAGGCCACAAAGAGATATCCCGACTATCCTGTGTTTCGTCTGGCAGGAGTCTTGCCTCACAGCTACCGTGTGGTCACTGGAAGGACTACATTCAGCTGTGGCAACCCTATTGCCTTTGCGGACAGTATGGGCGGTTGAGGCAGCTACTAGCCGACTGAAACCAAGAAAAGAAGTTGACCGGCTGAGCGGTTTGCTCATTTCAACTGCTATATTGCATTGGCGTGTACCAGATAGCCGTTGGCTGGGCATCCGCCCATGCAAGGAGCAGCGAAAAGATCGGCGAGGTGTCAAGCAATTCAGCCCGTTTCCCTCGTCACTGTATGAAGATGTTATGGCACATCAGCCGCCTTGCTTCTTCCACACTGGTATGAACGAAATGTTGCTGCTGGCTGGAAGGCTCAACCCGTCAAATTACTGTGTTCAATGCCGTTTGGTCCGGGGCTTTACGAGCAACTCCAAAAACCACGTCCACCTACCCGGGCTCTACCTATGACGCTGCAGAGTTTCCTCAAGCGAGAAGGCTTCTGACAACTCTATACAGTGATCACTCGATTGGCGAAAGCTGTTGGAAAGTTCCAGCTGCAGGCCTGGGAGCTCATTGACGAGCTATTGAAGCAGGTACCGGTAGGATCGATCCGCACAAGCAATAGGAGGTTTGGGGTTCGTTTGCCCCACTGGGACACATGGCTGCACTATTCTAAGAAGCTGCTGAGGCTGGATAGCTGGCTGGATCTGCCCTGATCGACATAATGATGAGCTGGAACAATCGAACAGCCCTTTGGCCCACCAAAGAAAAGGCCTTTTTTTGATGAGGCGGTTTGAAGGTAAATGCAACGGCAAGTGCTAGCTAGGAGGCTCACTCTTCACTCGAGCTACTAGCTAGAGAGCTCAAGAGTATTACTGAGTAGTCAGGGCAGCTCTTGCCTCGGATCTTCCAAAGTTCTGGGGAGAGCCACTTTGAATACGTATTATTTGATCCATATGCATACCGTACGGTACCTGGTACTCTCCAAGAGCCCACAGCTATCATTCGCACTGGGTTCTCACCGGAGATTGTGGTCTTGGTGCCCCGATCGCCCTAAATCCTAGGAAGAATCAATCGATAGTGAAGTGTGCCTTAAACGTCAGAATTCCCCTTTCATACAGATGTACTTGCCTTTAAATCTGAAAAAGACGATGTAGAAAGAGATTCTTTTTCCAAAAAGGGGACAAAAGGATCCAGCGTTTTTACGTTTTTACTACAGTATGCTACCTGGTACTGAGTAGCTTCGAGGTCAACGGTACCGGTACTGGTCCTCCAGTACCAAGCGAGAGGTAGTGGCGCAAATGACTTCCCTACTGGCTAGCTAGCTAGCAGTGCTACTGCATGTCGTAATTCATAACGTTTCTCTGGATCGAAACAGAGTTACAAGTTACAAGCCTTGCTGCCCACTGAGCATAAGGCAAGTCTGAAGCCAGTATCTGGCCCTACGCTACGCCCCCAGTAGTTGCTCTGGCACCTGTATTACTCTAGAGTACTTAGTAGCTAGTAGCCAAACATTCACGTTTAGCTGGTTCCTCTTGGCTCCTGAAAGAGGATATCAGCGCCCCTGGCAGCTGGCATAACATCTTTCACTGCGCTTATTATGTCGCAGGAATGAAATAGAATCAATCGAATTCATCTAGCTAGTAGGTGAACCGCATGTTCAGCAAGATAAGGCTCTGTACAGGAATTCGGCAGCTGCATAGCTACCCTACAAGGCCAAGGATCCTTCACTGTATAACCACATCTAGCTAGCTGGCATATTCTATTGCCCAGTACCGGCGACCCATCGATCAATGTTGATGTCAGTCCTCAGTTCTCAGTTCAGCTGAAAGGTCTGGATCTGAGTTGCCCTCACAATTTCAATAGTTGCCTCGCTGAACCTCTTTCACACTCTTTCGCTTTACTCTGATCAAACAACATGCATATTCCAGCCTACATCACCGTTACGAACGACAGCTTGGACGATGACAGCGTGAACTCGGAGATACTCTCTCCCAGTCAAGATCGATCTTGCCGTGAGTGTCGATGGGAGCAAAGACGTCCTGCGCGACGACAGAACAGTATGCCAAGTTGCCCTCGTCGACGTGGAAGCCTGAAAGGAGCCTTGGAGGACTTGGACGAACCGGTCAGAGCTACTCTGCTGTCTCGATCCAAGTCATGCCGTACCCAGCAAACAATGCCTCCATCTGCCCCTCGGCGACGAAAGAGCATCACTCTTGATTTGGAAGAAGACTCGGATGCAGAGAGCGCGAACTTTGTGGCGCCCCAGCATCAGCACAGACTGAACAATGACGAGGAGGCTGAGCTCAACAGTGCTATTTTGCAGCTGCTCTCGACCGCATCTCGCTCATCGGCGAAGACTGATATTCTTCCGCATGTCCCCCGCCGACGTCAAAGCTTTCGACGAGTCGATACAACCTCTCCGTCGCGGTGCTTTGCCCATGCCGCATAAACTTTTCCTCACATACATAAACGATAAACACACAGGTTAACTTCCAACTATCGATGATGTCACCGGTATCAAGCTATAGATCTAGTCCTCTCTAGAGGTGGCAATGGACACTGGACACAGCAGCCACAAGCGAGTTTCCACTGCAAGTATCTCTTGGGATGTTTGCATCTTCGTGGCTCGTTCGCCTCGCAACAGCAATGGAATGCCACATTACAAGTGCACACGGATACATGTACCGGTACTTGCTCATGCCAAACGGCACCCTCACAACCCACAAACGTTCCAGTAAAGCGACAGTGGGCCACACTACTCACAGTGCTTGCTCCCGTGCTCCGTAGTCGCTACAGTGTAGTACTGTACCTGTACCGTACCGTCGGAGGCTCCAGAAATAACAGCTCGTCGTTCAGTCGTTCGTCGAAGGCTTGATCGCTCCACCATGTTGCGATTGACCGTCGAGTCGCTCGACTGTCACTCCTGCAGCAAGAATAATACATATTGCTCACTCTGTTAATACTGTCTCACTGTTGTCGAAGCTTTGCCACTGGAAAGAAATATTAATAGCCAGGGGTTGTTCTAACTCCTTTTCTTGCCGGCTCCCGAAATAAAGGTTCTTCGGTTCTTCAACAGGGAGATGATAAAATAAGCCGGAATTCTCCGTTTTTTAAACACCACCAGCTTTTTCCCTGCTTTGTTTAACACCACCAGTTTTCTTCCCCTTTTGTTTAACACTAAGGCAAACAAGCTGTAAACATGCTGTATCATGAAACCAAAGAAATAATGAGAGCTTTGATTCAGGCATCACAAGAAACTCTTCTTTCTCCAAATTAACTAAGTGTGTGTTCAAATACGGGACTGAAGGACAATAGAGCTAGAGAGCAAAAAGTGGATGTTAAAGCTTTGGGTAAGTGTGTGTTAATCACTAATGAATAAACTGGTGGTGTTCAAAAAAGCGAGAATTCCCGATTCTTTTAACATCTCCCAGGAAGAGCTTTTTCTTTTCGGCAGGATTGAATGAATCATTCGATTCACATCATCCGCCCACCAACCTTTTTCCTTTTTCCTGAAAGGGCCAGGAGGCATGTCGCTCTGAAATAAATGATATCTTGTCCAAGACAAACAAAACGAAACATGAACTATTGCATTCGTGCTGTCAACAAGTATGAACGATCGCTTTTAATTAAGTTGTTGACAACGATCACTGGTAGTTTACCGTAGATTGAGAGCGCTGGGTTAGCTTTGTTTGGTTGCCGCATGTGGTCCGATAGGTCTGATACGTGATAGGTACGATGGCAGTGTGGCTCATTTGCCCTCCCAACTGCCTGACTGGCTACCCGTAAAGTATTCTTTGAACTGTGACCTCAAGGCAAGTGGGCACAGTGAGGGTAGCTATCGGTATGTACTGCCCCAAAGTTGTGTGGGCCCTCCGAGTCAATTCGTCACTTTTTCGTTTCCTTTTGGTCAACATGGCTGTTTCAATACCTTATGATCTCGTGCTTCTTCCTCAGGACGAAATGAGTATATGATATCAGTGCCCTTGATACGCTGTTGGATCCACCACGTGAAGACGGAGTCATAGCTTGCCGTTGCCGATGGGACGAACTGGCAGCATGCGAACTACCAAGATACCCTTGTCGCCGAGGTAGCATCAATGAAACGGGTGGACCTGACAATGCTATGAAGACACATGCAAAGGATCCGGGAGATACGTCGCCAGCATTGGGGCTCGTCACGTGCAAATAGGGCAAGTTGGGACAAACGGTTACTCTGGAGGGCTCGGGTGATCTGTCCTGTTGCCATGGAGGCGGCAAAGAAAATCAACGCAGCAAGCGTTTTCAACGAGTCAACAAAACGGGGCAGCTGGTGTCCCACCACAAGGTCACAAATCGATAAGGAAGCGGCCAAAAACTCGCAGTGTTCACGGATAGTACCTATGCTCGCTTTCGAAGGCGATTTATGGATTCATGAAAGACCTTCCAACTCAACTATAAGAACTAAAAGTTTTAAAGTGACGATGTTTTCTAGTGTCTTTAGTTAGTAGATGGATGATACCCGCTTGCACCTCGGTGGTACCAGGTACCGGTAGGAGAGAATGCCCTACGCACAATTGCTTTGTCTCATCCTTACGCCGACAACTCCCAGAAGGTATAGACAGTGCTCACGACAGTGGCCAAAAAGCCCCACACCAAGAGAGCGGTATCCATGGCAATGGAGCACGCAAGAGACCTTGCGGACAACGAGCCACGAGGAAGACCAAAGCGTACCGAAAGGATCAAGTGTAGAAAGGGGGGTACGCAAAACCCCACCACGGCTACACAACAACATCCCACAAAGCTCAGCACATTGACAAACCCAGGGACAAAGCTGCTAATGGCAGCACAAAGTAAGCAAATACTCCAACGAACCGTAGCCTTGAGCCACCAGGGGGTCTTGTGGAACGTCCATTCATCGTCGTCGTCATCGTGATGCCAAAAGGAGGCAATCTTGCCTTCTACCAGCTCTCCACAAGGCACAATGAGCAATGGAGCCGTGACTAGCACGACCAAGACCATGGAAATGCGTGTCAGTGTGGGGATCCAGCCCACCGAAGGCAACTCGTGCAAGACATCACCTTGAATGTTGGGAAATGGGATCAACAGGCCGACACCCAATAAAATGTAAGAAAGGGCGACCAGAGTCATGGCCCACGATGTTGCCGGTACGAGCTGCTGCGGTTCTTGCATGGCCTGTCGAAAGGAAAATGCCAGCGGTGTGATTCCAAATCCAAAGACGCATATACCAAACCACTGGCTCACACCGCCCATTCCAGCTCGCGGCCACCAAAACGAACCACTGTCCTGAGCCGTTGTATTTATATTTTCCATCATGGGAGAATCGCTTGCCAAGACATGCCAGGTTTGTGAATTGTCGTCATTCTCCACAAAAAAGCCATACCAGGCAATCACCACAAAGGTTGCCACGAGTACCAGCAATCCCATGGCACTCGCCTTGGCCAAATGGCCCGTGTGCGGTACCACGGAAAGAGGTCCCATGATTGCCACCAGCAAAAATGAATCTACAGATCCCATGCCCGTGGTAAAGGGAGTGTCTCCCAAGAAGCTTCGCATGGCGTTCAAGTAGGTCACAATGACACCAATAAGGTATAAGACCATAATCACATCCAACAGATGGGCACCCCATGGTCCGAGAGCATACCATGCCAGTTGTACCAATGTGGTCATGCCCTTGGGTGGCTCATTTTTCGTCAATTGATGTTCTTTCCGTGATGCGGTAATAGTCTTCGGCGGGACCTCGAGACTGTCATAGACTGTGGAAGTCGCCGTACTGGACGAGTGAAGCAGCCGCGCCTCTTCGTCAACTTCCATTTCCGTCGCCTTCTCTTTGAGGGCAAGAACAATACTATGGCACTGACAGAGCTTGTGTACTGTGACGACATTCCAGATTCCCAGTCCCAACAAACCAAAGATGTGCAGGAGAATTCCACCCTGTTGAGCGGCAAATGCCAAGGCGAGACAGCCCGTTCCCATGCAAGTCTTGGCCATGTTGATGACCGTGTGTGCTACGGATGCATCGTGATGTTGTGGGGAGGTATCGTCTTGTTCTGGCAGGGGATCCTTGGATTCCGAACACATGGTTTGATTGTTTCTTGGTCTCTGCAGTTCTTCTACCACTTCTTTGCTTTGCAGCAACCAACCACCGTTCTATATCTCTGGTTCAAGGATGAGCTACTGTCTCCAATGTAGTACTAATACAACAGCAAACCCAGCTTCCACCTTCGATGCAAACGTGTCAGATCAAGATGGAGAGCTTCAATGCTTGCTGGATGATGGGATCTCTTCTGCCATCGTCAGGTTCTGGCGTCACAGAATCACAACCGAAAGACTTCTGTGAAACGCGATGCGAGCTGCTTGTTTCGGCTTCTCTTTTTCTTCCACGTTGGTACCCCCACCATGTACCGGTACCGAACCCCAGCTACCGAAGCACCGTTGGACCACTTTGGGTCACCGATCTAGTGCTACCGGTAGCTACTAGTAGCTATTATCCTAAGCAATCTCGTTCCTCTTCCAGGTATACCGTAGGTAATGGCCTTTATCACACACAATTTTCTAGGAAGGACCGGCAGTCAAAACGTTGTGGAACCTGCAACGGGCTGAAGGGTTGTAAAATCATTTCGTTCGCATCGGACGCCTCTCTTGTTGGGTTTGCCAAGCTTGACACGATTTCCTTTTTCGTAGCTGCAGGCTTTCGCGGTTGATTCAATTTATCTTTCCCTTTTTCACAGCTGGTGCTGCCTTTGGTCGAGCCCTGATCTTTGTGTTTCCTTCCTTGCCTCTGTGTCTGTCCTTTGCAACTGCGATCAAGCAATGTGGCTGCAGCTGCTCTGATCCTGCCGTTTCTATTTGGCGAACAGAATGCACTGCCCAGTGTGTTGACCGCATTCATTGCCTCCTTGTTGGCCAGTACTGGTAGCAACATCCCGTGTGTATCAAAACTCAAGTTTTCACAAGAGGACCAAGAGGTGCCCCGAGCCAACGAAACACCAACAATCATCAGAGCCCCAACTAGCGACAGCACATAGATAATTCCGCAGTGCCGCGCATCGCGTTATGATTGCCCAAAGATTGTACCGTCATCCAAGAGTTACGATCCTCCTCTCTCACACACCGAACTGTCGTTGAGACATCATGGCAGAGGGGGTATCTCTCTAGTTTAGCGTCAACTATCCAACCTGCCAGCCAGCCGGCAAGCTTTGTATGACGATTCATGACGTTGCAGCCTGCAACTGTGTGTTGTTGGTATAGAAGCACCTAAAATGTCAAGAAAACCCTAATTTGAGAGTTGGGCTATCACAATTGCTGACAATTGTGTTTTCAAACTTTTTCAATAGTATGTTGGACGATCGTGCGAGCATGAAGAAAGGATACTAGGCACTGTCGTCAGAGTTGTTGCCACTGCCGGACGATGCAAATCTGTACTTTACTTTTGGAACTGGTCCTCTTCCAAACTCGTAACAATGCCACTCGATGGGTGGTGGAGATTCATCCTGTTCCCCTCCAACAACAAAGTAGAATTTCTTAGCTCCAAGTGCTGCTCCTGGCACATCAACATCTTCATCAGGGATCATGATTTCCCACATGGCGCCACAACGACGCAACCAAAAAACACAGGGTTGCCCGCCAAACTGTCCATTTTTGGTATACTTGCAGTGGCCTCTGAATAACCCATCTCGAACATAGACCCCATTAACAGCTCGCGAACCAGCTCCTGTCACTTTGATCTCAGTTGGGATTTTATCTGTTTGTATATGTGTCATCCAGGGATTGTTTCGCTTGTGCGAGAAGACGTCTGAAGAGATCTCCTTTGCTGCAAAAGCTTGATACTTGTATGCTTCCAGTAACTGCTCAGGTGTGACCAACCCTGAAGCTGCAACAGTGGTTGCCAACAATTCGGGCTTAATCCTTCCGAAACAAATGTGCTGCGAAAGCCCTTTTGCAGTCATGAGTCGTTCACTCTCCTTGCCTTGTGCCCACAGGTTCAGGATCTGAAAGAGCTGGTATTCTGTTTTTTCCATCGCTTCGTCCGTGAGTATCTCTTTGAGGATATCAACACTCAAACAGTCCACATGCTCCTGGGTGATTGAATTAGTCGAGAAAGGGCGGCGAATGTTTCGCCATGCTTCCTCTACCAGTGTTGCTGGAACTTTCGGCTCAGCCATTTTGCATGCTTGAAGGATAGCAAAGGAAGAGCAAGGGGAACTCCACCAAATTAGTTCCAATTTCTTGCGAATGCGTTTAACAAGCCCAGGAAGCTGGAAGTATGCCGCGGCTTCAAGCAATGAAACAAAGGATTGAATCAATGGATAATCAAAAGAGCGCCCTTCCTGACTTTTTCTCTTCTTGCAGTTCAGCATCTGTGCGGAATCTGTAAGAATGTATTCCACAACAGCTCTCAAGGTGCCTCCTTTGAATCCAACCTCTACAACAGAAGACAAAGCCTCCTGGAATTTGCCCAGGAGCATTCCTCTAAAAACCTGACTTCTAGCAGACAGCAGAAATCGGTTTGCTGGCACCTCTACTCCATCAGTTCCTCTGAGTGTCACATCATTCAAAGCTTCATCAGTCAGGAAGCTTTGGAGCATCTCATTGATGGAGATCTCCTTGTCACGGCTATTATGCATAGTTGTGCCTTCCATCTTTTCAACAAAACTTGTCTCCTTTTGATGGCAACGGTCAACCTTTAGATTTTAATCATCTTCACACAGATGCTTTCGAGACCTACCCAGCAACTCAGGAGGATCCATATCAATCCGGTCTCAATTCTTGCTTGTTGTGCGCTGGCTCTTGCTTGTAATGCTTCTTGCCAAAGGCACCCACCTCTCCGCTCAAGAATGGCCTGGTGCTCATTTTCTCTGGTATGGTCTTACCCCCCAAGGTTCAGCTCTTCTTCCTATGTGACGGTTGTGCTGGTCCCTTCAGCGTTCCCCATGCTATGGATTGCAAAAGCAGACGTTTAATTATCTGGCACCGTAATGAAATTGAGGCTGCCGAAGGCATGAGCCCTCAACCAGTTTGACATGGAATCATTAGGCCGGTTGGCTACAACATGAAACTAGCTAGCTAGTACTGCCACCACTGCTAGCTCTAGTAGATATAGCCTGTTCCTAGCTAGGTAATAAACAGTTGGCTGCTTGGGTAGCCAAGATGTTAGGCTCTCCTGTTGGCTAGCTAAATAATGAACTGTTGGCTGCTTGGGAGCTACGGTAAGTATTAATAGTAGCTACTCCAGCCTGCTACGGTAGCTAGCCAGCCATCCGTTCCTCTTTTTGATTTTGGGCAGGCAACTTTTATAGGGTTAGGGCTAAAAAGTGTGACAGACAAACCGACATACCGACAAACAGACAAACGGACAAACATACAAATAAAATTCACAAGGGCCCTACATCCATTGAGGGCTATCCGTAGTGAACCTGGTTGAAAGGGCCCGAAATCAGGATTTTAAGAATCCAATTTTAAAAATTGATCAATTCCAATCCAAAATATAAAATCGAAACCTAAATATAAACCCGAAACCTAAATATAAAACCGAAACCAAATTACTATGGTAAATAACTAGTAAAATCAAACCAAAACCTAAATATCAAACCGAAACCTAAATATAAAATCGAAACCAAAATATAAAATCGAAACCCAAATATAAAGCAGAATTACATGTAAATAAATCGTGATTTCGGGCCCTTTCGTTCTATTTCATGCCAATGCTTTGGTTCCTCAGACCTTCAGTTGGCCCCTTCCATCTGTTCCAGCCCCTACCAGCCCTGCTGGCCACCCCATTTCCACCTTTTTTAAAACCGCAATAGAATATTATGGTCATAGCAGGTCATAGCAATGTCCAGTGACACCACAAGCCGTTGGCAGTTGCGATCCATGACCTCCACCCCACCTCGAAACCGATTACCGATACCGATACCCCATGTTATGTTAGCTAGATCATCAGCATGGGCTCACTGTCGGAGAGTATGAATGGGAGCGGTCGCCGTCCGTCTTCCCCAGGTACTCCAAGTACTCCAAGCAAGAGCAGCAGTGGATACAGCATTGGTCGCGGGGCAGTGATTTGTCTCATGGTCTTGAATCTGCTGGGTATGGGATACCAGATTATCTACCAGCCTTTGGTCCAGCAGAGTGGGGTATCCGTTGCCAAGCATTGTGTGGGACGAGATAACAATGCTACCAGTATTACTAATACTGAGACTGAAAGGATGTCATCATCATCTGCTGCTACGCATACTCCCACGGCTCCTCCTCTACTACCCACCACTCCCGCCGTAATATCCAACCAAACGACGAGAATTATTGGCTGGATCCGTCCCGACGTGGTGTACGGTCTGATTCATATACCCAAAGTGGTGGGAACCGAAATCAACGGCCTGCTGGCCGCCCAATACGAACGAGTCTGCGGGAACAAGGGCTATTCGTTTGATGCCGCCCAATCCAATCGACACGTTGGAAACACGAATTTGTTTTTGGACAAGAACAATTCCGATCGCAACAATGTTTTGCCCGAGGAAATGCTGGCACGAGGATTCGAAGACTGCGATTACATTGCACTGGAAGAAAAACCCGATTTTTGGACGCCTCTCTTTCAACAACTCGGGCCCATTGAATTGCACGTGCCCTGTCGAGAACCTCTCCAGCATTTGCGATCCATGTGCAACTATGCCAACAATTGGCGTGGTATAAGGCGCATCTTTAACTGCAGTGCCACCGATCTACGACAGGAAGTACAAAATTGCGATGCCGGATTGTTTCGTCTGCAGCAATCCTTTCGTCAACAACCCAACATGACGGCACTGAAATGCTTTGATCCCTTGCCACCGCAACGGTACACTGATTACATGGGGGATATATTGCAACCCAAACGACTGCCATCGGAATATGTGCATCGAGAAACCAATTTACCACATGACAAGAGTTTCACGGAATGCATCTGGAACCAAACCAAGGAATGGCAAGACAACTTACTCCAAATCATGCGCAAGCATTGGTACTATTACAATTTTTGCCATTCCTGTTTGGGATCCAAACATGATTTGTTTGCGACGACGACCAACAAGAAACAAAAGATCATTAAGCCGCCCAAACAACAGAGAAGCTCCGCAGGAAGTGCCACTGGTGCCAAAAAGAACAGCCCGAATCCGCAACGGCAACAACCAATAAAAAAGAGCCATCCACCAAAACAACCACCACCACCAAAACCTCAAAGCTTTGCCAACGCCCCAAAACAGAGCAATCTACAACCGCTACCAAAAACACTTCCACCAATCGAATAGCTCAATTTTGTTTGTTTGCTACGGCTACGAGCAAAACCAACAATAGGAGCATTCGGCAACAACAACAACGCTCTGCCAAACAAAAAACAAATAAAACTGCCAAGAACTCATAAGAAACCACACGGCAAGCATGGTTGGCCACTACATGTACTTGCTGCATACAGTACTGTGTCGTAGAGACAGCTGCAACTACTGTATCAGCAACATAGCAACCAACCTTACATGGTGGCCGTCACCGATGCTGCTGATTACCAATGCATATCCCTGTCACAACTCCATGAATACAATACAATACTGTAGTTATGATTTTCTACTGATTACTTCATTCACTAGTGTGCCCAAATTTGGCCTGCTTTTCGATTCGATTCGATTCGATTCGCATCAGGCAAGACGCGCCGGTCTGCGGTCAGAGGAGCAAGAGGACGCAATATATATATATTACGGGGGGAAAGGTGCCAGAGTTGAGTCCAAAGAGGTGGCGTTGGAAGGAGGCGGACACTGCCAGACGTCCGGTTTTCATCCTACCGTACGAAAAGAGTTCGTCTGAACCGTTTTCTTGCTGCAGGATCTCGGGCCAGTTGGATGGCTGATGGCTGAACGATCGAGTTGAGGAGTGATTGATTTGGGAATGCAAACGTATTTGTATACATACATTATCATCGATGAAAACCTGCAGCAGGTGAAGTTTGAGAACGAGATAATTCGATCGTGTCACTCACTGGTACTACCTAGCTACCGTACGCTGAGCAACAGCGATGTCGAGTGACAGTCGAGTCAGTTTTTTGGAGGGCTTGAGCACGACTGAGACCGTGAAAGGCTCACGTGCGGGATAAATACTACCAAGCCAGTGAAGCAGATTAGCATGACACCGATGACGAATGACGAAAACAAAGTTCTGATTGAGGGCCATTTATTGGTGAGAAGCGAATGGATGTGACAGACCACAACCATTGAAAGTTAGTTTTGCAGCACAATCACAAAGATAAAGGCCAGCCACCATGGCCAGCACTAATAGCACCAACCATGCCAGAGTAAATGATGACACGAGCATTCCAATGGGTGAAGACTCCCCTCTACTGTTCTCCCCCAGCCGCCGCGAATCGCTCATCACGGCGGTAGTAGAGGAAGAAGTTCCAATTGGAAATGCGTCCGTGTTTGCCACCATGGTGAACATGGCCAAGGCGTGCATGGGACCGGGTTGTCTGGTATTACCGTTTGCGGCTCGACAAGGAGGTCTGTGGTTGCACACGGTCGGATTGTTGGCCATTGCCGTGTGGAATATTTATATTGTCCGTCGACTCTGTCAGTGTCTCGACTATTTGCCGGCTACTGTCAGAGCACCGACTGTCACTACGCCCAACCCCACGCGCAAACTGCGTCGTGACACGCATAACAACAACAAACCGCCACCTCCGGAAGGCACGGCCATGTTTGGTCAAGTGGTCTGGTATGCACTCGGCAAAAAGGGATTGTTTGCCTTGGATTTATTAATGCTACTCTTTTTACTGGGAATTCTGATTGCCTATATTAATGCCATGCGCAGTTTTCTACGCGATACACCCCTCTCCACACAATCGCCTCTCTTGGATGCCCTCCTCTTGGTGGCCATTATGGGACCACTCTCCAGTGTCCCTCACATGGGATATCTCTCCAAAGCCAGTGCTCTCGGATTGGTTGTGCTGGCGGCTACGTTTGTCGTGATTGGAATTTATGGAGTTCAACAGCAACAACAACAATCCACGCCACTCCATGGGACACCCCAAGAGGGTCTTTGGGGCATTAGTCAATGGTTTGGGTCCGTCGTATTCAGTTTTGGAGTGGCACCCCTCACGTACAATTTTCGATCCTCCATGGCCGATCCCACTCAAATGGTCACGGCCACGACTGTTTCTTTGATGAGTGTGGCACTGGCGTACATGGGGATTGGCATTTTCTTTTGGGCACTCTTTCCCACGCTTCAAGGCGATTTGTTGCAAGCACTGCCGACGAACCAAGGGTTTGTGTGGCCCAGTCTCACGCGTCTCGCCATGGTCCTGGTTGGATTGACCACCGTGCCGCTATTGGTGGTTCCCTGTGGGGAATTGTTGGAAGGAAAATTAATCATGGCGCCACGATCCAACAACAACAATCATCATCACAAACGACGCATTCTGGTGCGATGCGGGATTTGTCTCTTTGCAGTGGGTGTCAGTCTCTACGTTCCGGGATTTGTCGATGTACTGAGTTTTGTGGGATGCTGTTGTGTGGCATGTCTCGGATTCTGTATCCCACCCTTGTTGCATCTCCTATTGGGGTATCGGTCACAACCTACGCATAGCATGATTTTGGATGCGGTCATGCTCGTCTGGGGCATCTTTGCGACAGTGGTCAGTACCACCTATACGTTTCGACAAATCTCCACGGCCGCTGGAAATTGAATGGAATGAACGAAAAACAGAGCAGATGAGCAATACCGTACGGTATGGAGAAAAGGTGCTTGCTACTGAAAACAGTGGATGGAAGAAACTCATGTCATGCACTCTCTCAAAATCTTGCTGGGCATTAGAGATGTATGGGGTGCTCACGAGGTACCGGTACCGGTACCGTACCGTAGCTATGCAATGCAAGCGGATCACCTCCAAAAAAGAAAAAAAGCCACATCTGATCCTGCTTTTTAATTCGTCACTGGCCAGGCGTTGTGTAGTATTGCAAGGGGCACGAAAACAAAGCACGACAACACGAACGAACCAAGAACAATTGCAGGTTGGTTGAACGAAGGACCTCAATCGGCCAGGCTTCCACTCGCTTGCCTTGTTTGGATGATTCCCCTGTTTGGATGATTCAATCATAATATACACGCTAGCTACGCGTCTATACAGCATGTCCTTTTTGCTCTCTTATCTTTTCTATAGTTCTCTATTTGTTAATATCTACTCATTCATGCGGCAACAGCTTCCAAATTGGAGCAAGTTGATACGTAATTCCAAAACTCTAAAAAGTGGTGGTTGGCAAGACAGACAGTCAAAACTTCTAAGAGTCGGCAGTGGGCAATGCTTTGTAGGAAACATCCAAGACCTGGGAACCAGCCAATCCATTCACATATTGTTCCACAGCCGAGAAGAGCTTGTAATGAACCTTTTGGCGGAATGTAGACTCTATCGAGTAGGTCAAGAAGCGAGACAGAGACATTCCGTGGCCACTCTTGAGAATGGATTCCTCGCTGTCAACAGGTCCTTGCATGGGTCTGTAGACAGCATTGTCATTCTCTGCAGCCGAATCGTAACGCTCTCCTTCCTCAATTTGTCCATCAAAGTTGGAGGTGGGGTGAGAGGGAAAGCAGCACATGGTGTCACGCTTAAAGATGGAGCTTCCAGAACCAAGGCGCAGTGTATATCCCAAACGACGTCCCGATTCGAACGGGCGCTCAGGGTCCCGGGCAAGGCTTCGGTGGAGAGTGAAGCGGCTAAAGACCACAATATCAGTGGGAGCTAGTGTGGGGGCCACCTTGGTTGTCTCCAAAAGGTTCTGGCATTCCTCGGACAAGGGTTCAAACAGGTTGTGGATGAAGCAAGGGTGCTTCGAGGAACCCATGTCAACACCTTCATGTGCCCACAAATGGCTTCCAGGGACAAAGGTAATGCCACCACCAATGGTCTCGTCCACATATTCGGATGACATCCAGATTTGTGCTCCACTGGTGTAGCTGGCTTCGTATGTCTGCGGAAATGTGAGGAAGTCCCAGTGCCATTGAGGGATGCAAGATGGACCATTTTGTATTTCCAGAATCTCAGAGGTGACAGAGTAGGGCGTGTCTCCTCCCAAGGCCAGCTTGCTGATCATGTTGGCAATTCGGGGTTGCTGCCAGAAGCGCCACGTTATACTGATGTGGTAGTATTCACCGTGGAACTTGCGAGAACAACCTGTGAGCATGTCAGGGAAAGCCAACTCGTCCAAGTTGTGGCCAATCACCTTTTCCAAGGCAGAAGAAAATGTGGTGTTCAAAAAGTCTTTCAGTACGACAAATCCATTCTGCTTGTACTCATCCAAAAGCTCCTTTGTGAGAGGATAGTCTGTAGTGAGGCTCAGCAGCGAGTCAATCTCGGATTCACTGGCAACGCCCTTGGTGATGTACTCGGCCTTGGAGATCACCCGGCCACCAACATTCTGCTTGTACTGGGCATGGGCAAATGTAGCAAACATGTTGATGTCGCTCCATTGAGATTGAAAGACGGCAAGGGCTGCAGCCAACAGAATTCCGGACACCAGCGTGGTGGTGGAAACCTGGGCTTGTGCTCGGGGATGCGCGGCAAGCTTCCGCGACGAGGACGAGTGAGACTTCCACGGCGGATTTGTTGGCGGATGAGGCTTCCTGTGTTATCCATCATGATTGTGCAGAGTTGTCAAGGTTTTGTTTCGTGAGTTTGTTTTGTGGTTGCTGTTGCTTTGTTGGCAAGTTTGTTTTGTGAGTTGAGTTGCAATCATTTTCAAGGGCGGAGAGGAAAGATTCGCGAGCTGAAGATCTTCTTGTTTGGGTTGAAACTGGAACAAAAAGTGAACCTTCTTTCTTCTCGACCCATGGTTTGGAACAGATATCACACGATCCATATGGGCCAAGCAACACGAATCTCTTACTGGGTGAGACCGTCGTCTCCTGAGCGCCGCTGTTTCATGATGGCGACGCATCCATCGCCAGTGAGCTTGGGAGTCTTTGGGTGGCCAGAGAACCACGCTAACTGCAAAAAGGAGAGCACACTTGCTCCGATTCAGTCGCTCTTGGCACGACAAAATATGCTACAGTACCGTACTGTTGCATGTACGAACTGGCTACATAAGCCACATGATGCTGGCAAAGGCCACAGAACAGCTACGCCAATACTAGGCGGAGAAGCGCAACGAAATTGAAGGAACCCACAGAGCCATTTTCTACCCCTGTCTAAACTATGGCTAGCGCTACGAGCGACGAGCTGAAGTCCTATGTGGTTTGGACTTACACTGACAAAGCGGAAGGCATTCCAAATGATGTTTCCCCAAGAGTTCCACAGATGAAGCTGCTGGTTTAATTAAAATACGAATGGGACAAGCCAATGCCAAGACCAGACCCAGCTACTGTTTAAAAATGATACTGTGCTTTTGGGCCTTCAGTGAATGAATTCAATCTATCTGTGGCGACAAAAGATGCAAATAGTTGACTTCTTTCTCCCTCCATCGTCCAGCCATCCTCCAGGAACCAAAATCCAGCCAATGGAATGAATCGAATCCAACACCAATCCGAGCCGACGCATCCAATCAACTAACTTAGGGGGTGAGGACGACACGGAATCGGGCCTTTCCACTCATCATGTAGTCGTACGCTTCCTGCGCCTTGTCCAACGGGAACACTTCGTTCATGCTAGCAATGCCTTGGTTTTTGGCAAAGTTGCAGCAATCGGTACAGTCCGTGCCTGTTCCACTGGGCCATCCACAGACATGACCACGATTTGGAATCACCTGGAACGGACTCAAACTGAATTTATCGGCATCTGCCCCGACAATCAAGAGTCGCCCATTGGAGCCTAGAGCATTGACAAGGTCCTCCATGGATTTGGCGTTGGGTGCTGTGGCCAACACCAACTTGGCGCCTCCCAATTTCTGGAGCTGGGCTGATGCCGGCTCCACCGACGTATCAATGTAGTGATCGGCACCCAATTTTTCAGCCAGTTCCTTTTTGGATCCACTGGAGGATACCGCCGCCACTTGGAATCCCATCTTTTTGGCAAATTGAATGCCCAAATGGCCGAGACCTCCAATTCCTTGAACGGCCACCAGATCTCCCGGTCCCACATTCTCTTGATTCCGCATACTGTTAAAGACTGTGATTCCAGCACACAAAAGGGGAGCCGCCGCCACGGGATCGATATCTTGTGGCAGTTCGGCAATGCCCGTCCAAGGAGCAATCATGTACTCGGCATAGCCGCCATCGGCATGAATGCCACTGACTCGAGATTTGGGGCACATCATAAAGTCTCCACGGCGACACGCTTCACAAAAGAGGCAGTGATCGTGATGCCAGCCAACTCCAACGAGCAGACCCGTGGGAGGCCAATCCACTCCTTCACCAACACTCTCCACCGTGCCAATCACTTCGTGGCCTGGTACGCGGGGCAAGGAACAACCGGGATATGCATTGAAGACGGTGAACTTGTCGCTGTGGCAAACACCACATGCCTTGACTTTGAGCAACACTTCGCCACGAGCAGGAGTAGGAATCTCGCGTTCTTCAAACTCAAACTTCCCTCCAGCTTCTTTGATCACGGCGCACTTGAAGGTTGGCATGGTCTCGTCGTCTGTTTCTTCGGTAGTAGTAGTAGTGCTTCAGTCCAAAGGAAGTGAAGAAATAATTATGAAACATGAACATGCAGGTTTCTTTGGCATGGTGTCGCGGATCCGTTTGGGCATTCTCATTAAAATAGTTTGGTCTTCATTTACAGCATATAATATACTCAGTAGTTCATATTATTTGGTGACTTATTATAGCTGGTGGAGATGAAGGAAATCCTGTTGCGTTTGGGTACAGAACTGTATTTCGTTTGCATCATGGAGTATTTTTGAATGAATTTATCTCGGTGATGCTTCTCCGATCTTTGGATCTTTTCAGGGTGTTTCATCCAGCGGGGATCTTCTTCTCCGATCTTGGATCTTTCAATCACCGTTCATTGAAGCCCGAAGAAGATCCTTGGAAGCTGCTTCTGCTTCTGGGATTCTACCGTGACCACTTTTGCGCTGTGGTCCCACATGCACATGTGCATGTACCGGTGTAGCGGTAGGGCTGGAAGTTATTGGATGGTGGTGGCCATCACAATGAAGTCAAGAAACCAAATTGGCTGGGCAATCAGAGAGGACGCAGTCAGTCATGAGCAAAGCAACCAAAAACATCTCAAGCTTTCAGACCACCGCTCGTCTTCTGTTCTGATATCCAAACGTCAAACTAGCTGGCTCAGGATACAAACGCCAAAGTGCCTGCAAGGAGGAGATTCAAAGCGAGTGATCGAGAGGAGCCCCCTTGAGGAGGTGTGGAAGATTCATTGCTTGTTTTCAGAGGCTTCTTTCAACCTAAAAATGGGACGCTGATATTATTTTTTAAAATAATAAAACTACATCAACGTTAATAATAAGATTGTGATGTAGGACAGACGTGATTCTTGGTGCGATTTCCTCCATCTACTAGCTAGCTAGTAGATCTAGCTTGCTTGCTGTCGACTAGTCCACTTTTATGACGCTTATTGGTAGGGATGCTATTTGATGAGGTATCTTAGTATTGAGGGTGGGATGAAGAACACTGAATTATCGGTTCCGGTACCAGTACCTGGTACCTGGTACCACCTGAGATGTACCACCTGATGGTACGGTAGACGCTTGTTGCGATGTACACTCGAGGTCACGGCGCCAATAGATGTTACGATGACGCCATCGCAAGACAAGAACTGCTACATATGCTATCCTTGGCTCCTTGGCTCCTTGGTCTCATTCGCGGCTACCTATCCTTGAGTGCTTCCCCAAGTTGTTGTTGTGGTTTCGTCATCTACCAACAGCGCACGTACCCAAAATCATCACTTACCTCTCGTCCACACACAATACCAGACCAGCCGCGCAGAAATCTAGAAGAAGAAGCAGAAGTAGTAGAAGAGGGGGAAACATAACATAACGAGAAAGAAGTAACCATGAAGTGGATGGAGCCAAATGCATTCGATTGGGAGGAATCCCCTCCTTTATCCTCTTTTCGCGCTGTGGCGACGGGGAGTCTCGTCTACGTTGCCGCGGTGATTGGTTCGACAATTCTTTCGAAACGATATCTGCCGGTAGTCGACAAGACTTCTTCATCCAAGGAAGAAACATCTACCATGACGGGTTTGCAGTGGAAGCCTTGGTTTGGCAGTGACCTCCAGACTGCCCAATTCATTCACAACATTGTTCTGGTGGCCAGCAGTGCTATTATGCTCTGTGGCGTTGTGGTGGAGAGTATCAAGAGATTATCCATGCCGTCCGAGTCATCCTGGCCGCCGTTTCTGCTCTGCGAGGAAACAAAAGGAATCATGGCAGGGAAAGGGGCTCTGTATTATTGGAGTTACATCTACTACCTGTCCAAATACTACGAGCTGTTGGATACGGCCTTGCAACTAGCTCGAGGTAAACCACCTCCACACTTTGCACTTCATGTGTACCATCACTCGGTGGTTCTCTTTATGGCTTGGGCATGGTGTGAATATCATCAATCACTACACTTTATTGGGTTGGCGTTCAACACTGCCGTCCATGTCGTCATGTACACGTACTTTCTCCAGCGGACCATCACCAAGGCAACACCCAAATGGAAGAGTTTGGTGACCTTATTCCAGATCGTTCAGTTTTCCTTTTCCTTCTTTTGTGCGATCTTGACAATCTACATTTCCTTTGTCCAAGGATACCAATGTGCCGGAATGAGTGCTCTGGGTTTGAACGCTCTCTTCAATGTGACATTGTTACATTCCTTTGTCGGCGTGTTCAAAAAAGGGGGAAAGAAGAAAAGAAAGACTGTGTAACTCTCCCTTCGTTAGTTCTTATAAGTAGGTTGTCTACAAAGACAATGACTTTGATGCTCGCTCTCTATACGCCCAAACGAATTTTGAAAATAAACTACTGCTTCTTTGTTGCCTCTCTAGACTCAACTCGTTGAGTTGATGACATACATGTATAGATGGAGGTACAGTGGATCTGGAGCCGCCCGATGGTGCTGTGCGTACCGTATATTATGATACACGGCCCATAAAAAGCAACTCCAACTGGGCTATACCTGTCGTACGGTGCATGTTGGTGATGCTAGCTAGGCAGAGTGCTCTAGCTTTAGAATCGTCCTCTTCGGTAAGCCTTTGAAGCAGGGTCCACGGGCCCATACCATCTTCCTTACTAGCTAGCTACCGGCAGCTATTGCGTCAACGCAGCTTTTACATATCCTTCTACGGTACCGTACAAGAGAACTTATGAGACGCGTTGGAGCGCAACGTACACCAGTCGCACTTGCCGTACAAAACCTTTTGCTATAGTAGGTACTAGGCCAAGGAAACAGCGGCAATCTTGTTCGGAGCCACACCTGAAACACTTGACTCAATCATATCCACTTTTGTCGTCTCTGTTGTCGTTTGTAGCGATACCTCTAGTTCTTGTACCAACTGTCAGCAGCCCTCCCAGCGTTCTTTTGCCGCCAGTATGCAGCGTTCCAAGAATGATTCCGTGGTGGCATCCCGTGCTCACGTTGACGCCAGCGGTGAGCCTCGCTGGACCTTTGAAAGACAGCTTTTTCTTTTGACCAGGGTGTTGTTTGCTTGGAGCGTCGAGCTACCTTTCCAAAGGCCTTCTCGCTCTCCCATTTTGTCACGCATTTCAGCCGCTCCTTTCCAGCCACCGTATTTGATCTGGTCGGACGGCAAACGGCTCTGATCGGTCTTCTCTGGGTTAGCTGCCAAGAGGTGCACCGGCTATTGAAAGTTACTCGAACATACTGTATAAGATGTCTGTCTTCTGCGCGTGTCGAGTCCACCCACGCAATTGCTTAGTGGTTCTGCTGATCCTGCCAACCAATCGATGGAGTGGAATGTTGCTGACTCAAAGAGTACTATTTGCATGGTGAACTGTATCTTTTTTGTTATGTGTAGACTAACTGCCTATGGTTGTACTAGGACTTTGCGCTGGGCTACCTCAAGACCTCGTTTCACTCCTGCTGACCAGAATCGTTCACCCTGATCTTTGTTCATGTTCAAACCAAAAAGGATGTTAGAATAGAACTCCAGGCTTTCCCATGTTAATGACAACTTTGGGAGATTCACGGCACTAGGGCAAACAGGATGACTTGTGGAGGTGAAAGACCCATCCACATGGCCATCGGATGCCCAATCATCCCCAGTCATTCCTGGGATCCAGGCAGATTGCAGCAACATTTCCTTCAACTCAATAAAGTTCTTTGGAGTTCGTACAGATGTTTCGGGCAACCATGCGTCTGCGTTGGAATGAGTAGAAGTAATTATATGCATCTTTGCCACGGCTTCAGCGTTCAAGGTGCGCTGGCTACCTGTGGTAATCAGATAGTCAACAAACTCCTCCACTACCTGAAACTGGGAAATACCCCCACTCCTCCATAGACCCTGAATTTCCAATGCTGTATCGTACACATCATAAACTGTGATGTTGGCCAATGCAGCCGTTGTGGCAAGGCATCCTGCAGAATAGCAGTAGTAGTCAGTTTTATCAGAACCAGTCAGTTCTGGAGCCGCTTGCAGGTGTCCAATGGTATAAAAGAAACCAGAAAACCCGGCTCCCGGAACATAGAGGCAAGTGTTGGGATCCTTTACAACATGCCCTGGTGTGGTTGCACCCTGTTGGTACCCCCAAGAGAAGGCAATGAGAGTAACACAGCAGCAGAAAGATCCAAGAGCAGCTCTCAAGAAGTTGTTGGTTGACATCGTGTTGGTTTTGGTTTTCTTCTGTTTTGGGTTTTGTGAGTTGCTCCACGCAAGGAATGATGTTGTGCAATGTTCAAGGTTTTTAGGAGGCTGCATGATCAATTCGCTTGAAATAGACTTTTCTTATTGGAGCTCTTCCAGTAATGGTTTAGCCTTTCTTATTAATTAATATTGGCCTACCGGTAACCAAGACTGGCCCTCACTGGCTTCGGCGAGACCTTTGAAAAAAGCTACTTTTAGCCAGTAGCCATCCGATCATTAGAGATACATGTTTAAATGTACTCTAAACTCTAAAGCCCATGCTGTAAGAGAAGCGATGTTGGGTATGCAGTATGCAAGAGTGAAGCGATTAGTGTCATTTAAGTAATTTAGAGATGGTAGTCTACGGTGTTTATGGACAAAGTTTCATCGATTTTGGTGGTCCTAACTATTAGAAGTACTAGTATTATAATTGTTCTACTCAGTACTAGCTATTTTAATAGTAAACATCTGATCTATGCTACTTACTAGTACATTTACAGCGTACCATACTGGTACGCCGGACCGTACCTGGCGCACAGAAAGGCAAGTACTGTTAAGTTTGGCAAGAGCTGCAACTCCTGGTTCTCTAGAGTCCCACTTATGAATAGTTGTGAACAATGCTGCACAATCTGGACCATTAAACCATAAAGAAGTATTGCTATGTACCTACTAGTAAGTCTCTGTAAGTAAAAGTCTTGTTGACTTGGAAGTTCTCATTCTGGGAGTACAGTATCTTGTACTCGAGCATGTTGTACGACTGCATGCTGCATGCTACATGTACTGTTTGTGGGAGGTGGGAGGTGGGAGGTGGGAGAGGGCTGGTATTCGCAGTTCGCGGTTGGAACCTTTGACGGTGCTACAGTAGTTGCAGTAACAACAACGGGATCATGTAATATTTGGGATCATTAATTTTATTCATGGCTAATAGAAAAAATCACCTAAATTCCTTCATCCAGTCGCTCAGCGTGGATGTTCATCAAACGTTGCATGCGAGCATCAAATCTGCCTCGGGATCGACCTCCCATACTAATCCAAGCGCTACTAATCTAAGCGCTACCGGCACCGGAATGCTGCTGCGAGTGCCAAAATCTGCTTCAAGTCTCTTTGCCCGACTGCCTTATCGTTGAATCCCCCCGCTATCTTCCCAAAGACTATTTGTAATCGTCCATAATGGACAACATCACAGCAGCTATCGCTCTACCCACAGCGGCCGAAGCCATGGCATCCGCCCCAGTGTATGACATCTATAGCGTCCAATTCCCACCATGGTGGTGCTTCAACTTCTTCCTCATGATCTGGTGCTTTGGGCGTGTTGTTGAGCATCTCTTGGCAAAAACCTCCATGCTAAACATCGGGACCAAGTACAAGGTCCTTCCATGGGACAAGCAACGTAATGTTGTGGTATATGTCCTCCAAACTATCATCACTACGCTTGCCTTTGTCTTGCAGATTCTTGGAGGCATTGATATTGTGTTCCAAAGAAAAGATACCACTACTGAAGTTCGATACTCCTTCATGATTGTCATGGCTCAGCTTGTCTTTGTTCTGTACACCTGGGAACTCATCTACCGACTCAAGATTGGCATGCCATTGCTAATACACCACATCATGACATGCCTCATGACACAGCTTCTGGCAGCAGCCTTGGTTGACACCTTTGATGTGGAGTATGCCCGTCTTGCCACAATGTTATCCTTCTATGCAACCACGGAACAGACCAGTTTTGTAGCACTCTTTTGCTACCGATTGGATCTATTTTCCAAAGAAACCCAACACAGCTGGTTCACTGTTGCTGCTATTCAATCCATTGTGGTCAAATCTTCCATTGCCATCTTTTCTTTGGTCTACTTTTGCGTCGTCTTCTTTGTCCGCAAGGAAGCAGACGATCAGCCAACCAACTGGAAATGGTTCTGGAAAATCTGCTTCATTCCTCTTGTCCTCGCTCTCTTTGCTGCCCAGCTCTACACCAGCCAGATCCTCTGGCAGCTCAGGAATAAGTGCTCTGTGGAAGTGAGGAAATCAATTGTTTCCAGCAAGAAGATTGATGATGATGCTCTCAATAATGGCACAGATACAAACTGCCGCGAAGACAGTGAGAACGATGATATTTCAGTCCGGGTAGAACTTTTTACCATTGACGTATAGCCATCCATTTGCAAAGCAATTTAATTTACATTCTAGCTAGAATCCATGTTTATATTCTGCACTCAAACTGTTCTCTACTAGCTAGCTAGCCAGCCAGAACTGTGATTGTGATGGATGGCAGGACACTGTGCGAGCGACAGTCATTGGTTTGGAAGGAATTTACAGTCCGGCTACCAATACATCAATCTCTTCTCGAGCGTAAAATCGACTGGCTCGTTGGCAACATTTTGCTTCTTGAAAGCAAGGTTTAGTCATCAGTCATGAATGGACTGGGAGTCATTGGGACTCGACTCGACTCACCCTCGGGTTCGGAACCAATGCGAGCAAAGGTACCGTACTTACGGCTGTAGTACGTTTGTACGTTTACGTGGGGCACAATGTACCGCTACCGGTGAAGGTCCCATCGAAGGAAGGTGCGGGGAATGAGCACTTGGATCGCTTCCTTTTGGAGAACTGATAGTTTGTGTTACTGTAAACTGAAACCAGAGAAAGGCAAAACTACACGGCTTCCCGCAACCCAATGTCCAGGCGGCAGTGCTGACCGATAGGCGATCCCAAACATGGATCTTGCATAGCAACCAGTACAGGTGTACCATGTCTTACATAGTGAGCATACTAGTATTGGCTATCTCTCACAATTCTTCTTTCGTAGGCCAAATGTTAAGACGAAGCATTGAAAGCTTCGAGACCTTTTTAGAAGCCTTGTCCACTCAAGCACCCTCTCACTACTACTAGCTACGAGTAGCTGGCTACCCACCATGGAGATCATTTCTCTCTTGTCCATTACTACGGGTACGGTACCATGGCATTGATATGACCGTGTTGCTTCTACCTGTCTGCTTTTCCTGGTTAAATTTCAACGCTTTTGCCTCGGAAGCGGTTTCGCCACTCTGAGCACTCCTGCTCGCTCCTGCGTGAACTCAACTCTATGCATAGATCTCTTGATCTGGAACTTGTGTGTGTGTGTGTGTGGTTTTGGAGGAATTCGGTGTCTCAGTGGTGGCGTCATTGCGAGCAAGGGCATAGATTGCTTGGTATCGGTTATTGTTGACTGTCAAGAATTGATTCCGACCAGTCTAGGACTTTTGCCTCCTACAACGATGCCACCAACTGACGCACTGAATTCCTCCGAATCCACATCCAGCAAGTGGCAAGTGGCAAGAAGAACAACAAGAAGAACAAGAACCCGTTGGAGCATTTACTTGGTATAATATGTGCATGGGAAGGCTGCCCTGATAGCTTCACCCAATCTGGATGGCTGATGGACAAGGAGGGGCTGCTGTTGTCAACAAGATTGAGAGTGTCCAGCGTCATGGGTCCATGGTTCTGGGCAATCTCAATCTTGGTGACGACAGCAGCTCTTTGTCCAGCTTGAGTGGTTTGTATGAGTGGGTGGGATCATCAAGTGCCAGGCAAACGCTTGTGGTGGATGGCGTTGCATCCTCTTGCTACATGCAATCATGAGTATGTGAGCAACACGGTCGTGAGAGAAAATAGACACTCTGTGTCCATTTAGTTTCATGGTTTGGTGATCCCCAACCCATGCACCTAAAAGGCCACTCTGTGTCCATTTTCTCTCACCACCAGTGTGTTGCTCACTTACTCCTGATTTCATGTAGCAAGAGGATGCAATGTCATCCATTCACCAGAGTGTTGCTCACACGCTCTTGACGGTACCGGTGCTGGTACGCATGTGCGTACCGTTGCGTTGCGGGGAATGACGAAATCGGAGCACATTCTGTTGGTCAAACTGATAGTTTTAGTCAAGCTTCCAGTTTGAGCCTTGGCACCAGAAAGCTTGTAAAGAAGAACCGGGGTCTAGCTAGCTAGCTAGCTAGCTAGAGTAGGCAGATTATCTACGGAAACCAGCCGGGGCCAGGCTTGGTGGTGACGACAGCAGCTCCATGTCCATCAGATTGCATCCTCAAGAATGCGAGCAACACGGTGGTGAGAGAAAAATCACACTCTCTGTCCATTTTGCTCCATGGTTTGGTGATACCCAACCCTTTGAGCTAAAAAAGGCCACTCTGTGTCTGTTTTCTCTCACCACCTCTGTGTTGCTCGCATTCTCCTCTCTGCAATTCCATCCACCACGCACCACAAGGGTGCCATGTTTGGTATGTATGTATGTATGCATGGGAGGGATCAAGTGCCAGACTTGCAATTTATAACAACGGTTTGGCTCTTTTTTTGCAGACAGACGGCATTTGATTTGACTGGTTCCATGACCATCGAGCACAGGGTGGTTCAGTTAGTTGTTCCTTTTGGCAGTCTAGTAATTGGTTGTCTTGAGTCCCCTCTATCTATGCCTGCTTGGAGCGGTGCCGATCTAGCTGCTGCTATGGCTGTTGGTGGATTGTGGATTGGTCTTTGTGGGTTCTTTGGTCCGTGGAAATGCTCACACGGGAGGCCGCACAAACATTACTGGAATGCTCTGCCTATCGACTCGAAGGCTCAGTAGATATCATTGCATTACATATTCTACCCTACAAACCACTATACTATATTCTTGCCTACACTTTAAAAAAATCCGCCGGTGTCCAGAACCACAGACTGCTGTACAGAAGGGATTGTCGAATAATGCCGGCGGCTCGCCACGCCTCTGGCAATTGTTGGTCGACGATATCGTCCGCTTGTTGTTGGTACCGTAAAGCGTCCCCGTGTCGTTTGTCCCACTGGTCACACAATTGGGAGTATTGTTGATAGGCGGCGTGTCGTTGGAGCAGCAACAGGGGTGCCATACTCGATGTGGTGGTGGTGGCCGATTGGAACAATCCTTCGGCCGTGACGGCACTTCCGGCTCGATGATAGCATGTGGCGAGAACGGTCAAAATCCGGCAAAGACTTTCTTGTGATTGTTTTTGGTGGGAATCATCGTGTGCCCGAATGGCCAAGGATGCATGCTCGGATGCTTTGGCAATGTCGTCTTGGGATAGCGTTCTGTCGTCTTTTGTGATCATGTCCCATGCTAGATTGGCGTGTAGATTGGCCTGTAGCAATAACAATAATTGGGATGCTGTGGATTGTTGTGTCAGCTTCTGCAGTGCTTCTGTCCATTTGGTTTGTGCCGCGTTATTGGATTTCTTGTTGTGCGCCTCTGCCACGCCCCAATTCGCCATGGAGGCAGTCTGTGGTAGTACTAGGGAGTCTTTCTCCAAGAGGGACACGGCATCTCGAAACAAGTCCAGAACCTCTGGTGGAATAACGGTATCATTCTCTTCTTCTTTGGACGATGCCGACAATAACAGAGATAGTGCTTTGCCATTCATGGCGGAGGCCGTCAACAGGGCGGACGAGGAATCCGCCTGTAGGAGTAAGTCTTCGCAAAGCTCGTGTGCTGGTTCGAATTTTCCTCGGGTCCACAATACTTTGGCCTTGGCCAACTGAATACTACTACTACTGCTGTTGCCGAGTTCTTGAAGTGCCTCCAAAGATTCCAGAACGTCCTCGTACCGCGCCAATTGTTGTTGACATTCGGCCAGCAAGGCACACACGGCCACATGCTTTGCACCACCCTTGGCAAATCCCGCAAAGACATCACGGGCGCGTTGCAACTGATCCAGAGTGGATTGACTCGTAGCTGACGACGAAAAAATCAAGTCGCTCCAAGCCGACTCCATCTCGGGCAATTGGCGGATCGATGTGAGGGTGGATGTCGATACCAAGACTGGATTATCCAAACCCAAGTTGTGGACACTCAATGGTAACCGCGTGTCGTCGGCTGCTGTGGACGAGGAAAGACGTCTTCCCACTATTATGGATCCAACTTTGCTCTTTTTCCTTGTCCATGGACTTGGTGGCGCCCACAGGGAGACACGTCTGAGGGATCTCCGGCAATCAGCGACGGGTCTCAACCACATTCTGGCTGGCTAGCTAGCTATGGTACTGGTCTACTTTATTGTACAAGCCTCACAAGTACTAGTGTCGGCTGTTGCTTCGCGTCAGACAACACAAGAATAGATCTACTACCGGTAGTACTACATGTACTTCTAGCCGGTAGCTGATCCAGAACTGAGTGGAAAAAAGATATGAATGACGTCACTTTGGGGATTTATTTCAGACTGAGAAAGCATTATTGAGAGTCCTTGAGATTTAGAAGGTGATTCGTTAAGTATCTTCACTTGCCCGTTTGGCTTCTCATCTTCAGATCCAGGAAATCTGAACTCGGAGTGGAAGCAACGAAGCAACAACAAAGATGTCGACAGAATGCTAATACTTCCATAGCTCTGGATCAATAACAACAGCACCATGTCCTCTACCAACCCAATTAATGATGACAACCAACAAACAGCAGCAAGTCCCTCTGCATTGGCGGGCATGACGAGCAATGTCGACGAGTGCCGTCAAGTCTACAATGCATGGGCCCAAAATTACCAAAAGGACGTGGAACAGTGGGGATACCAAATGCCCACGCAAGTCGCCACACTTCTGGCTCGGCACATGAATGCCTCGTGTCCAAAAATTTTGGATGCCGGAGCCGGCGATGGACTTTCGGGAGTCGCACTCCGTGCGTCGTTTCCAGAGTGTCACTTGATCGGGGCCGACTTGTCACCGGACATGTTACAAGTGGCACGCCAACGAGGCTGCTACGATCATTTGCACGAGTTGGATTTGAATCAAACGCCGTTTATGGTGGACTTGTCAGAGGACGGCAGTTATGATGCCATTGCCTGTGTTGGTACCATGACTTACGTCGATCCCACGAAGGGCACCTTGGCCGAGTTTTGCCGTCTTGTGAAACCCGGTGGATATATTTGCTACACCAACCGTACCGACAAACTAGAACCATTCCAATCGGTGGAACATCAATTACTAGTGCAGAGAGTATGGAAACTGGTAGAACAGCAGGGACCCATGCCGTATCTGCCCAATCATCCCGACTTTGGGGACAACATACAAGTCGTCATTTTCTTGTACCAAAAACTGTAATAATCTACTCAGCAACCATATTCTTGTTTGGAAATAGGAATCAATAGTGGCCTAGCTAGTTAAAGTTGAATCTTCCTGTTCCCTGACCAGCTAGCCACCGTGGAAGAGGCGTGAAAACCCACAGAGCCGAAATGATAGCAGTCTTGCATTTTGCTTTTGCTTTCAGGGTTGGGCTCTTGTGCCGGTAGCTATCATCGAGGAAAGTGATGCTGGCCTACCGCTACCCCCAAAATGAGTGCTGGGCCACATGCAATGTGGTCTTGGCTACACGCTCCGAGACAGACAGCGGCGGAAGAGGATATTCTTACTACAAAGCAAAGAAGAATCAAAGGATAGATCCGCTACTAGGTCTTGGTCGTAATGACAGTCGTGCGGGCCAGTCCTAAAACTTTCTGCTTCGCTGCCGGTATTCAACGTTGCTTTTGCGCAGCAGGATAGGGTGCATTGCTGCTACTAGCTAGCTAGCTAGCCCAGCAAGAATTCTTGCCAACCAAAGCGAACTCACATGGGGCGTCCATCGTTTACTCTCGTATCCATGTCCAAAACCAAGCAACCAGCTCGTCATCCATCTCGCTCTTCCGATTCTACCGTACTAGCTAGCTATAGGCAGCACTCCAACAGTTTGTTCGTTTACACCTGCAAATCTTAGCCGGTAGGCATGTAGCCGAAGACCGCAATATGTTCGCTTCCGTTGAATGCTTGCGAGCAATCAATCAGGTCAGACGACTTTGTACCTTCCCTGACTGGAACAAACTTTCAGCATGTCTGCTAGATAACCCACGGAACTCTACTAGCTAGTCAAGTACATGTATGGAAGTGTTGGTGTAAAGTCTAGATTGAAGTATCAAAATTAGCTAGAGTGGAATGCTGTGCAACATGTATTTGACCGTTGTGGTTACGCATGGCCTGAGTCGAGTCGAGTCGCTACACATCAATAGTGAAACCCTCCTCCAGGATTGGAATCTCTTGGTTGGTAACACTTGTAATACCACTGCCATGAACGGATTCCATTTCTTCAATCTTGTCAAGGGCATCAGCATTCTTGCTCCCAATTGTGGATCTCCTTACTTGCTCACAACACTTCTTCCGGAGTTGCCAGAGGATCTGGCTGGTGTAGAGTTGAGCAGCAAAGAGAGCAAGGACAAGAGGAATGAAGCAGATCTTCCAAAACCATTTCCAGTTGGTTGGCTGGTCATCGGCTTCCTTGCGAACAAAGAAGATAACACAAAAGTAGACCAAAGAGAAGATGGCAATGGCAGATTTGGCCACAAAGGATTGAATAGCAGCAATAGTGAACCAGTTGTATTGGGTTCGTTTGGAAAAGAGATCCAGGCGGTAGCAAAAGAGTGCAACAAAACTGGTCTGTTCCGTTGTTGCATAGAAGGATAGAAGGATGGCAAGGCGTGCATACTCCACATCAAAGGTGTCAGCCAGGGATGCTATGAGGAGCTGTGTCATGAGGCATGTCATGATGTGATGGAGAAGTAATGGCATGCCAATCTTGAGTCGGTAAATTAGCTCCCAGGCGTACAGAACAAAGATAAGTTGGGCAGTAACTATCATGAAGGAGTATCTAACTTCTGTAGTGGTCTCTTTCCGTTGGAACACAACATCAATGCCTCCAAGAACTTGCAGGAAAAAGGCAAGGGTTGTGATGATAGTTTGGAGAATGTAGACCACAACATTTCGCTGCTTGTCCCAGGAGAGTCCTTATACTTGGTGGCAATGTCCAGCATGGTGGTGCGGTGCAGGAGATTCTCCACAGCAACACTGAAGATCCAGATCAGGAGGAAGAAGTTGAAGCACCACCATGGTGGGAACTGAACACTATAGATATCATAGACTGGAGGTGAGACAGTTGCTGCCTCTGTTATTGATGACGTTGTGACGTTGTCCATTTTTGTTTTTTTTTGCGGAGTTGATCTGTCGTTTTATGGGATTTGTTGTTAGAATTTGTGTTTTTAGAGAAAGGATTATAATTATTTTGTGTGTATTTTACAACTGAGGGACGGAATCAGCATTCGAGTGCCTTTTGCTCACTCCGTAGTCTTTCCTGCTTGGAAGCCGCACTCGACAGCTCAGACTCCGGCTACCACCAGCAAGGCATGACTTGGATGGCTGAAAAAAGTATACCCTTTTTCAGCTGTTTTTTCGTTGTTTGTGGGAATGGCCTTTGTCCGGAACGACAGTATGGGATTTAAGGCATAGGCCTCCTCTAAAACCCATCTTACTCTGTTGCCTGGTTCGTACCGGTTCCACTTACCACCAGCAAGATACATGCTAGTACATGTATGTAGTCAGACCAGAACTTGGCACAGCGCCAACAATGTACACGTAGATACCTGGCCTACTGGCTACTAGAGCTAGTCGACTGTAGAGCTTCCGCGACGGGCGGCTTCTCTCCTACAACTTACCTTCAACCTACTTGCTAGTATCGTACAAGCACCAGCAAGATAACCAGACCAACAGTTGGCACAGCGGCAACAATGTACATGTAGATACCTGGCTCTACCTGGCTAGAGCTCCCCTTCTCTCCTACAACTTACCTTCAACATTCCTTCAACGTATCGTACAAGCACCAGTAAGATAACCAGGGAGACGTTAAAAGAATCGGGAATGCTTGCTTTTTAAAACTAAAAAATGAGAATTCTGGCTTTCATTGACACTTCCCAGACCAACAGTTGGCACAGCGGCAACAATGTACCAGGTACAGTAGATACCTGGCTAGCTAGCTAGAGCTCCTGCGACGGGCGGCTTCTCTCCTACCGGTACAACTTACCTTCAACGTATCGTACAAGCATTCGATGGATGAGTCAGATCCTCCGCAGTAGCTACCGGTAGGCAGTTAGAGTCCTCGAATCGAGTCGAGTCGAGTCGAGTCGAGAGATGGGCTTACACTGTAATAGTTGGAGACAATCCAATCCGAAGGCGCAGGACCTTTCTTCCGAGTCGAGTCAACGTTCCGGACCAGTTTGGCTTCTACTAGGCCGATTAATCCCTAGCTAGATTGAATGATGCATCTTCTTTCCTGCGGCCGCGTTGCGCCTAAATTTCTACCTTCAGCCCCTCAAGACATAGCATTCGGCTATTGTACGACTGGAATTGCCGGCCGAACATTTTTCGCACTCGACCTTCTGCGTATGTAGCTTGCTTGCATAGACCTTCGGATTGCATAGAGAATCCATTCTACCAAACGCACTCCTCACAAACTAAACCAACCAAAACCAAAACCAAAACCAAAACCAACCAAAACCAACAACATGATTTCAACCAACACCTTAATGAAGACAGCACTTGCATCTTTTTGTTGCGGTGCTGCTCTTGTTGCCTTTTCTTGGGGATATCAACAAGGCACCACCACTCTAGAACTTGTTGCAAAAGATCCAAATGCCTGTCTTTATGTTCCAGGAGCAGGATTTTCTGGGTTCTTTTATACCATTGGACATCTTCAAGCTGCATCAACCCTCAAGGAGCCTACTGTATCTACAAGAATTGTAGAGCCTTGGAAAGACAACACTGACTACTATTGCTTCTCTGCTGGATGCCTGGCCACAGTGGCTGCTCTGAGCAACATTACTGTGTTTGATGTTCATGATACAGCATTTGCCATTCAAGACCTTTGGAAAAGTGGGGAGATTTCGCAGTTTCAGGTAGTGGAAGAGTTTGTAGATTATCTGATTGCCAAAGGTTCTGAAGAAGGCACCTTGAATGCTGAATCATTGGCAAAGATTCATGTCATTACCTCCAAAGTTTCGCCTTCTAAAGATAGTTGGCTGGCAGCACCCAAGCTGGATACCATTGTGCGAACCCCACAAAATCTAGAAGAGCTCAAGGAAACGCTGCTGCAAACCACTTGGATACCAGGAGCAACGGGGGATGATTGGACACTGGATGGCCATCTGGATGGTGCCTTTACTTCCAGCAATCATCCAATGTGTCAAAGTTCTGTAGATCTTCCCAAACTGTCCTTGACATCATGGGACAGTCTGGAGTTCTATGCCAATATCCTGTTGGGTGTCAACATGGGCCAAGAGCAAATAGAGCGATTCTGGTCTGCAGGAGTGAAACGAGGCCTTCAGGTGACTGATGTGGATACAGGTGCACAGCCTTAGAGACCTGGCTCACCTAGCTAGCTAGAGTAAAGAATTGCAAGATTACCCCAAAGAATCTTCGTTTGCAGAATCTGATGCCGTGGCTTCTTGGTTGGCTGTTTTCTGATTTAGCCGTTCGGCTGGCTTGATCTCTATTAATGCCTCATTTATTGCTTTGAGTACCGATGCAACAGTTAATGCTTTCTAAAAGTGTGAGATCTTTGGATCCTTGGAACCGACAATGAGCATTTCTGCGCGGTGGCTGTTTTATAATAGTAGACAACCTAATCTACCAGAGGATCATGATGTGGCAATGGTACAAGGGTGCTCTGTCTCGGCACCCCTTGGCGGTCAAGGCGACGACTGCTGCTTCTTTGATGTCCGTATCGGATTTCTTGGGTCAGACGTATGAACAGATGGGGTATCAACAGATTCTGCAAAAGTACAACCGTAGTGACGAGGACAAGGACGACAAGAGCAGCAGCAGCAAGACTTGTGGCGTCAATCTTCAGAATGGATGTCCCAATAACACTCCGCAAAATCGCAAAGCTCTCCACTACGAAACCACCACCACAGATAATATCGGCCAAACCAACGCCCAGCTCTTGCAGTACAATTGGGAACGCACATTGCACGTTGGAATCACGGGTTTTACGTTTTCGGGTCCCATCAGCCACGGTTGGTACAGTCTCTTGGAGTGGATCGTGGTGGGCCGACTGGGTATCACAACGTTGTATGCCGGCATGGCGACGCGAATGGCACTCGACGCCTTTTTGTTTTCTCCCGTAGCCGTGGCGGGCTATTTTGTGTGGCGGTCGGTGTTGGAAGGCGCCAATGTGCAGTGGAAATTGCAACACAAGTGGCTGCCGGCATTGCAGGCATCGTTCAGCTTTTGGCCACTCGCCAACGTGATCAATTTTGGACTGGTGCCAGTGCCATTTCGTGTCTTGTACAACAATGCACTGAGTCTACTTTGGAATGCCTACTTGTCCAATGTCAATCAGGGGCGGTTGGAAGTAGTGGTGGAACAGCAACAGCAACAGCAACCATCCACAGTTTTCGACGAAGGAACCAGTGCGGTTGCAGATTCCAACAATCATGAAATACCCTTTGAGGGAGCCTGTGTCTGTTGGCATTGTCGGGCGTTGCGGGGATGAAAGCATACTAAAATATGGCTGATATCTTGACAAAATTGCCTTTCTACGAAGGGCAATTCGCTGGCTATCAATCAATCAATATGGGTAGAGTATGGCACTGCCACGCTGCAAATTCACAGAACCACAAGACCACACCAAGCCTAGCCCTACATGATCATCCTGCTCGGCAAGACTTGTTGAGGTACCGGCTAGGTCGACTCGACTCCCAACGGCTGCAGCCGCGCCAACGTAACGGGACGATGCAATAGCAGCAGCAACTATGAATTTGTCTTTGGCTATATCAACAGAACGTGGTCGTGACGATTCGATTCTTTGTCAGCACACAGTTCATTCATTCATTCATTCAGTTATGAGTCTATGTCTGGCAAGCAAAAGAATGAATTGCCTCATTGGTGGGGGAAGTCTCGTGTCCCTCCACTAACTAGCTAGTCCCGGTAGAACTCGCCCGCCGTAGCTTTCAACTAGCCAAATGCACTTTTTGTCTTGGCGTACATACATGAATGGTACTGAGATCGAAGTACCTAGCCTGGTAGCCAGAATCTGAGCTGAGCTGAGAAGGCTTTTGATGAGATTTGCCGATGGAAAGCCCTACTAGTAGTATGCGGGCGAAGCAACGGGTTGTCTGTGCATTTTTTGGCTGGCTAGCTACCAGGTAGCTAGTCTACTAGCTAGACTCTAATAGCGGACAGACAACTTTGGTGGAATTCAGGTAGATGCGGTAAAACTAATTTGTCATTCAAAAAGCAAATTAAATGTCAGCGTTAACCTAAATTTACCGTACTCCATCTACCAACCTCAAGCCGTACAAGTACCAGGTACACCTACCAACCGGACCGGCACGTATGCAGATCTGGGCACAGCACGATCAAGAAGCATGATAAGGGGGGTTTAGAGTAGGGTAATTATCTACGGAAGCAAGAAGCATCATCTTTACTTCTCTCACAAAAAATTCAAGCCACAAACTTCGCAACATGATTGGAAATAACAACTTCGCGAAACCAGCTCTAGCAGCCTCCTTTTTCTGTTGTGTTGCTCTTGCTGCTTTTTCCTGGGGATATCAAAAAGGCACCACCAAACCAGCAGCACAGGTTGTGAAGGATCCAAACACCTGCCTCTATGTTCCTGGAGCGGGATTTTCTGGATTCTTCTATACCATTGGTCATCTTCAAGCCGCATCAACCCTGGAGCCTACAGAATCTGGAAACGTTGTTGATGCCTCCTTTGATGAAACTGACTACTACTGTTACTCTGCAGGATGCCTAGCAACCACAGCTGTTCTGGCCAACATCACTGTTTATGATGTTCATGATACTGCTTTTGCCATTCAAGATCAATGGAAAAGTGGGGAGATTTCCCAATTTGAAGTAGTGGAAGAGTTTGTTGACTACTTGATTGCCACGGGCAGTGAGCGTACATTGAGCAACGAAGCTTTATCCAAGATGCACATCATTACCTCAGAGATTGCCCCTACAGAGGGATGGATGGCATTACCCAAGATGAACATGGTTGTGAGGACCCCACAAAATCTGGAGGAACTCAAGGAGTTGCTGCTGCAGACCACTTGGATTCCGGGGGCAACTGGGGACGATTGGGCATTGAATGGCCACCTGGATGGGGGCCTCACTGCTAAAAGTTATCAAATTTGCCAAAGAGCAGTGGATCTTCCCAAGTTGTCCTTCTTGAACTGGGAAAGTCTGGAGTTCTATGCCAACATTCTGCTGGGTGTCAACATGAATGAAGACCAGATTGAACGATTCTGGTCAGCAGGAGTCCAACAAGGGTTGCGCAAACTTAGACCTTTGCAATAGTAAAAGAACGGCATAGTAATTTTGAATAACACGTATTAAGAGACTGCATGGAGTCCATAGTTGAACATCTTAGACCATATCGTTAGTTCTTCAGAAAGGCAAGATGTCATTGAAACCTTAATGATTCCGTCCATGTCTACTATGCTCATAGCCACCCGAATCTACAGGTACGTAATTGGTTTTTCAGAAGCTCGGCTCTGTTCTGGCCGGGGAAGAGAGCGCATTGTAGAGTTGACAAAGGAAGAGTGCAATGTGGAGTTGGCTACGGGAGATTGCTGCATGGATGGTTCCAGTTGGCTGTCGAATGCTTGGGATTGTCTTTTGGGCACGTTCAGTGGGTTGGTGGTGAAACTAAGCTGTAATGCAGGCTTATTTCAAATTGCCTCCGACACTCACCTTATCCGATGCCTCCACATGCCAAGGATGCTTTCATGGTGTTTTGATCGGTTTCCAGATAGAGCAACCCTCTACCAGGTAACAACTAATGCGCAAGCGAAATGCAAGGAAAAGGTAGGTCAGCTTGAAGGATGGTACGGTCATGGAGTGGAGTGTTTGTTTGTTTTGATATCCCGCTCACACTCAGCTGCCGATATCCAAGGTCCGCAACGGCAGGATGGAAGAGGCTCTCCTCTGTGGCCCGTTTGATCCTCAAGTCTGTGGGAGTTTTGGTGCCAGCTCTGGCCGTTTTCAGATTGCTGATACAAGAGGAACCAGTCTCCCTGCCATGGAGTACAGAGAATCTCTTATTGGCCCTTCGTAACAGTACTGCTGTCTTTCAGTTGTCCTCCTCTAATACCACCCATAATGAACCCCACAAGACGTACATGGAACTGGCGGACTTGATCCAAGAACAAGTCAATGCTCCCCTTCCGGGTGGTCGACAACCAGCCAATTACGAGACTTCCTATCAACGTGCTACAGTCTACGAACGGGCTCCCTGGTTCATGCCCCCACGCAAACTCTGCAAAGAAACCTGCTGTGTACAAGGCGTGGCCATTTCCTTGGAACAAGACGAAACCCAACTCATCAATACACGAGATGGCATGGAATTGGCCGACCTGGTACTCCCCTATCAACGTGTCAACATGGATCAGTTGCCACCTCGACATCAATTTACCTATTTTGGACGCACTTTCGATAAGCACATGCTACCCTGTCTGGTACCGGGAACCATCATTGGAGTGCAAAACCACCTGGATCTCACGGTGGGATTCTTTCACGAGTATCGTCCGTTTATCCAGGTGCCCTACCTATTGACCGTTACAGGGACGGATGGAGACAGTCCCCAGTTGTATGAAGAATACATTGCCGATCCACTCTTGATCCAATACTATGCTACCAATCCACGCTACGACAGAACACATCGTCTGTTCCGCGCCCATCGGCGCAAGAAGATGCATCCCATGAACTTGGGATTGTCGTACCTTCATCCTCAAGAACGCTTTCTCGAGCCCTATCTGCAACTCAACCAGTACCGCAATCCATTCTTGTTGGATGACGACAAGTCCAAATGGGATCTTGCCAAACATCCTTTCGATTTTGACAAGGATGTTTTTGTGCAGTTTAAATTCTATCCACAAAGGCCGCATCGAGAGGCACTCTGGAACAGACTCTGCTCCAACAACGCGATTGTGAATAAAGGGAACATTTCTTGCACCAAGGGGCGAACGGTTGGTATGCATCAGTTTTACAAGCAAATGAGTCAATATCGATTTGGATTGAGTCCTCCCGGTGTGGGTTACGATTGCTATCGAACCTACGAGTTGCTCTTGCTGGGAGTCATTCCCATTATTGAAGAACGGGCTCCCGAAAGCCATCTCATGTTTGAAGGACTACCTGTGATTCAAGTGGCCAATCTCAGCATGGCCACGACTATCAGCCGACAAGAGATTGCAACAATTATTCAAAACTATGTTACCAGTCCGGAGTTTCAAAATGATACCTTTGAAAAAGGCTGGAAACTTCTCTTTTTGCAATACCAACGACAAGCCGTTTTGAAGGACACCAAGAGGGATAGGGAGATTTTGGTGGATGAAACCACGGGGAAACAGTACTACCAAGGGTATCGATACTCCCTCATTGGTCCTGGCAACAATACACGCAACGACGAACTGAGAACCGTAATGCGCGCCAAATGGTTTGATCATCCCGAGCCCAAATTGAACGAGGCAGAAAAGAAGTGGTTACAAGAGTGGGAACAGCTAGGAGTGAAAGGACTGAACTGATCCACATGGCTTGTGCGTCAGGGAAATATACTGAAAGCGGCTACGTATGGGCCGTATCTGTTTGGCCATTCTACTGTTGTTGGAAAAACCGACAACGGCTGTTTGGTGTTGCCGTATCGGGACGATACACTTGTGGGAAACGCCGCGACAAGATTTGTTTGGTGTTCTTGCCTCATCGTTTCGGAGCAAGCCATCGCATTGCAGCACTGATTCTATGTACCGAGTCACGCTAAGATTACTGGTTTCGACATTTGTCTGGTTCTTCAGGAAGCATCGACCAATGAGTGACTTGGCAGCACCGGCACTGCTCAAGGTTGAGAGCCTTTCACGCCAAGTTGTACCGGTGGTCATCTGCACTCGCAACTATTGCAGTCAAGCGAGGCGAAAGGTTGGAATGTAATTGGAATGACTCGACTCGACTCAACTCGTCAGTGAGTGGAGGCCTTGCCCTCCATAGTAGACCAGACCGCCACGCTATAGTTCTGTGTGAAGGAGCACACTTTCTTTGCATAAACGTCACCCCCAGGTGGCACACAAGCCATGCGTGGCATACTACATCCAGGTTTATCTTTCGTCTACTGCCCGCTCTCACTGCTCACAAACTAGAATAGCCAAACGAAACCACTCTACAGTAGTTGCCGTCCGTCCCGATGGTGTTCATGCCGTGACCAGCTTGCTTTCCTTCAGTTGCGCCAACTAGGCAAAAGCAGTGGCAAATCAGTGGCAGAATAGTAGCTGATTGTGCTCTTGAAAACATATTGGGAGAAAAAAACCAAGGCAGAACGCGAAGGATCGAAAAGAGTCGTCCTTGTAACTTGAAAAGGGTGTCGGTACTACTGAGAGCGCATTTTGTACGGTTACTTGCATCCTCTCAATCTCCACTTCCTCAATCCTTGTTTTTATAACACCTTGTCAAATAGTTTCCTTCCCATTTCGACGCCCAGAAAGAGGGCCGCATTGGCGGGAAAGGCTCGTACCAGTGTTGGTCCCAGGCCTGCATAGAGACCTGTAATCCCTCGTTCCTTGGCAATTTGGAATACTTCAGGAAAGTAACTTCCAACGACTTTGCAATCGTACCGTGCCTGTACATTGGTTTTTGGGACATCAAATGGCATGGCCAGTGTCCAGCCAAACATACCTGCCAATCCACCACTGATGAAATAATTGAGTTCTTCGGGCATGGATGGGACGTATGTTCGAAAGGTGTAACAGCTTAATTCATATCCACCAAAGAACAGGGCATAAAAAGAGGCATCACGGGCCAGCTGAGCATCCAGTCCGGCAAAAAGACTCTGCTCCGATCAGATTTGGATGGAAGCGGATTGTTGTATTCCAACGTTAGGAAGTGACTAAGAATGATGGAAAGATCAACCAAAATGGTGCCCAATGACGCACCTTGTACCCAGACTGCTTGATCATTCTCCTCATGACTTCTTGTGAGCTGACATTATCCCCTACAATGTATTGCATTTTGATCTTGACGACTTCACTGGGCAATAGAACCAATGCGGCACAGCAACCAGTCATGGCTCCCTATGTATACACCAATGAAACCATGGAGGAAGAACATGTAAGGTTCCAATGGAGGGATTGAAATGAGAATGACACGATTGTGGATTGTCTGGATAGTTTGCACAGTTTTGAAAGACGTACCATTAGGAACGGTTTTCCTAGAGCTGGTGGTGCATCAGAACTTATCTGAGACGGATCATCTGGATATGCTCTTTTGAGTGCTTCATTGACCCCAAATGCCATTACAGTTTCCAATGCCATTCCTAGAGCTGTTGGGACAGATCCTTTCCAAAAGGCCGTAATTCCCTACAATCAAGATCAAATCAAAATGAAGTATGGAAATGCCAAAGGTAAGAGAACGGGTATTTTCATGGGATGGATGGAGCAAAGCTGCTATCATTGGTGATGTTTGGCTTGCCTCATTTTTGAAGATGGATGTAGTGGTAGAAATGACGCCTGGGAATTCTTTTGGGCTGGTTTGCATTCTGACTTTGATAGTATCCATGGGCTGTCCTGTATAACAACAGCAGATGGAACCCAGAGTGGCAGAGAATATATCTCTTGAAATGGCACGGGGGTCTGCCACTGATGCAGGAGCATCTCCGACAAATTTAGAATCAGAAGAAGACATGCTGGAATCAGAAAGATAAAACTCAAACTCGAAAGAAAACGCAAGGAAGACACTGAATGACGCAGTGGGTTCCTGTCAGACTCCAACTTGCTAGACGCCTGACTTCAACAAGTTCAGGATGGTGTGCTATGAATTACTGTAGTCTTCCGGAGCAACGCGATTGCAATAATACCGGTCGTAGTGCTGAGATGGATGAAGGGAGCGTATTCCAACAGTGCAACAGACGGCAGATGCAGTCATGGTGGATGGTGGATCTGTTCTGAGTTCCTCCAAGCTTGGGATGCGAAGAAGGAAGCCCCTGATTACAGGATGAGTTCTTTTACCGCTGACAGGTGTCAAAATGTGAGCGTTTTTGACAGTTATTTTTCAGTTTTCGGAAATGGGAACCCGGAAGTGGTCATTTCGCGAATCGTGCTTGATTTGCGCGATTTCTGCGCGATTTTGCGCGAATTTGCCGCCAAACAGCAGAGCACCAAAGAATAACAAAGAACAAAGAAAAAATCAATTTTACCACCATGGCAACAATGTTGGCAAAATGGTCTCTAGCTTATCCATTACATTGAGATAGCTAATGTTTTCAGAGAAGCAGCTCCCCAACACACTCACAGACACTCCCTTTGAAAAGCATTAGCTATCTCCAAGGCTTGTCATGGAGCTCAGCAGAGAATTCCTGGCTGGATTGGTGGTTGATCTCCTTGATGCCGACAAGGTAGACAATGTCTCTCCCTTCAAGGACTGTTGGTTGACCATTAATGCCCTCAAAGCAGTCATCTGTAAGAGATACAATGTAGAATCAGAGGATGTGGCTACAGGGGAATTGTCAAAGGCAATGGAGGAGTACAAGACAGGCAAATTCAAAATAAGCAGCACGAAAAAGAACAAACCTGTTCACTGCCACAAGCAATCCACATGGAAGCAGTACACCACCAATGATGGATTTCTGTCAACAAAGAAGAAGAGATGGTTGGTTTTCCTCTCAAGATCCAAGAAAACTCCTGATATTCCAGGAAACAAAGAGAACCAGTTATGGCAGGACTTACTCTTGAAATGCCATGAAATTGAGTTTGGCTCTCATGCTGACTTCATTGCCATGAAATCTTATACAGAGAGATCTAGATCAACAAGACAGAGATCTCCTAGCCTTGGAAAGATGGATGACAAAATCGACTCTTTGAGGCAGCAACCGAGGGAAACTCTCAATAACCAAAAAGGAAAGCCTATCAATAACAGCACCACAACGGGGAATTTAGGGGGAACAACCGTTGTAGACGAGTCGAACACAGACTTACCGCAACCAAACGACGATGGACGTAAGAGGCAGGCATCAGAGACGGCACAAACTCCACAGCGTTCGAAAAAGCAAAACAAGGAAGAGACGCCGCTAGCGCACCATCCTCGTACTCGTACCGACAGCCATCGTCCTGGTAGCCCGAAGCCGAAAGCAAATCCCGTTCCATTTGAGCCCACAGCCGTAAACGGTGGTACTGCGGTTGGACGTAGTTCCCGTGCTGTGGTTCGCCGTCGCCGTTCATCGCGGGAGTATCTAAGAGCGTTGGTTGGAGACGTTGATTTAGAAAAGGACGAGCTCGGCGCTGACGACTCTCCTACCAAAGATAACGTCTCGCAGCTTGAAGATACCGTCTCCCAACTCGACGATGACGTCTCCCAGCTCCAGAATGACGAATCAATCGTCATAGATGACGGCTCTGCGCCCAAAGATGACGACTCCGTACCCAAAACAATTTCTGGTCCGTCAGCAGCCAAAGATGACGACTCGTTTCTTGAGGATGCTTCCTTCTGCCGCAGCGTGGTTACCTCCGCTGCCTCGCGCAAGCAGCAGCCAAATGCCCCGAAGTTTGATCCGACGAGGCTCGAGTACGAAAGGTTTCGTCTTGTCTTCAAACCTTCGCCGAAACAAACAGTCAAAGATTGCTTGGAAGAGCGCGTCGCGAAGCTTCGATCCGCCCTTGACAATTGGAGAGAGATGCCGTCAATCCTCGTAGGCACGGACCAGGATTTCGAAGAACTCTCGGTCAGTGCAAGACAATCCATCACGAACAAGGCAATCTTCGTCTGCCGATCATACGAAGTGGCTCTCGACAGAATTCCCCGGTACGGGTGGTCTTGGGAAAGATGCGTTGAACAAGCTGTCGCAGATTGCCGAACGGGTGGAAATCGTGCATACAACCATTGGAGGGCAGTGTACAACGCCCAGCGGGAGTTCATGCGACATGAGGGCTTCATGCCTCCACGAAGAACAAACGGCAAAGGAAGCGTTGAGTTGTTCAATATTTTCCCAGAAGCTCACATCATGCTGTATCGTCACTGCAAGAAGAATCTGGAAAAACTCACCTCCGAGTTTGCTCAGCGGTACCTGATTGACACCATAGTCCCTCACTGCATGGAGAAGTGTAATCACGAGCTTGCTCTCTCAGGCATCAAGCCACTCAACAGGGATCAGTTCCTCGCCATGGTTCGTCTCAAGTCGATCTCTGTCTCCACCGCATGGCGTTGGTTGCGGCTGCTGGGATTCGAGTGCCGCGAGAACACCAAGACGTATTATACTGACGGTCATGAGCGTCCTGACAATGTGGCTTACCGCAAGGTATTCATCAAACGGTACTTTGCACTCGAAGATTGTTGTTACCGCTGGGCGCAGGTCCCCGCAACTGCTGCCGAGGAGCTGGAAGCGGAAGGATTTCTGTCGGCGAACTCAACTCACTACTATGAGACATACGAGATCAGAGAGGAAGACGAAGAAGTTGAGATGCGAGAATACCACATTGACACCAACCATGAAAAGCTCCTTCAATTCGTACCTGAGGAGCAGCGCAAGTTTGGTGGAGGACTCAAGCGCGACTTTGACTTAAACCAGCGTCCAGTCATCATCATTGGCCAAGACGAATCTGTATTCATGCAATTCATCGTTTCGAAGAAAGCCTGGAGCGTTGACGGTGAGCAAATTCTCCGTAAGAAGAACGACGGCCAAGGTCTTCATGTGAGTGCCTTCGTCTCGGATGCTTTCGGAATGGATCCAGATATATCCGAGTTTCTTGAAGAAATCAATGAGCGGCGCAAAGAGACCCACTATGTCTCCGAAGATGCCGCCAATGTTGAGCTGGGAGACTCTCACAAGCGGCCGATCACCAAAGAGGCAGCGGAAGAAATGTGCAAATCCCCATTCATGCGTTGTATCCAAATCGGCCAAGGACATGACGGTTACTGGAATGGCAACCGAATGAAGATTCAATTCGAAGATATGGTCGACTGTGTCAAGGTGAAGTTCCCAGGACATGATTTCGTCTTCCTGTTCGATCAAAGCAGCGGCCACACCAAGAAGATCGATGGAGGCTTGGACGTCAACTGCATGCTTAAAGATCATGGGAGCAAGACACATATGCGGGAAACCACACTTGGCGTGGGATGCATTGGATCATTCGGTCCGTCGCTTTATCAAGTGGGAGACGAACAGTCGCTCATGTGGGAATCCGACGAGACCAAGTTGAACCCAGACGACGGCCCTTGGTACCTCACTCCCGAAGAACGGTTGGCCCAGCGGTTTGATATCTTTTACGAAGATGAAGTCAAGGCAAAGAGCGCCGCACAACTCCGCAAGGAAATCGCAGCTCACCGCGACGTAGATCCCAAGACGCTTGATAAGGGCAAGGGCTGCTTGAAGAAACTCAAAGAGAAAGCGGTAGAGGATGGCATTTCGTTTAACACTCTCGTCAAAAGCACCAAGAGCGTCCCGAAGACCGTCAAAGAAATGAAGGCAGAATACCTAGCCGCCGGTAAAGAATTGCCGCAAAGCCATCTCACCAAGACTGCTTTGCAGGAGCGCATGCAGGAGGCGGGACTTGATATTTTCAAGGATCAGCTCCGCATCAAGTCGCTCGGTTGGGTTGGTCGGGCGAAGGGGCTCAGCCAGGTCCTCTGGGAAACGGGATGGATCAACAAAGAGGACTACGCCGACAACAAGTACCACAAGGATGCCGCAAAAGCCGACTTGGATGAAGACGGCAACATCAAGGAAGGACATGAACGGTGGATCTTGTCACGGCTCATGGCAAATCGTCCTGACTTTGCCAGCGAAATGACCGATCTAGAGTTCCTTGCGCAAAAGCTCTCAGACGCAAACTGCAAGGTCACCGTCGTCTTCACGCCAAAGTACCATCCAAACATTGCCGGCGAAGGAGTCGAAGACACTTGGGGCTTCTCGAAAAGATACATTCGACGCATGCCAATGGACCGTCGGATCAACTTCAAGAGTTTCATCGCAGTTGCCAACGAAGCTCTCCGAATGAATGATGCGGCAAGAACCATGCGTTTCCGTCGCAAGTGCCGGAAGTACATGCTTGGATATCAGTCGATCAACAACGAAGTCATGCATGTGCCGGAAGAAGGAAGCACAATGTCCTTCAAGGATCAGCTCGACAAATACGCCAAGGAGTATTACAAGCCCACCGAAGATCAGATCAAAGAGCACGGCTTGAATATCAACAAGCGCACCCACAGAAAGAAGCCACAGATTGGTCCCAGTCTCACTCGTCGCAACTTCAAGACAACTGCGGAGGACACCGTCGTCGAAGCCTACATTTTGGCATGCGATCGAATCAAGAAAGCAGAGGCACGCCACCAACCAACCAATGAGGAGCGCTTGGAAAGATCTAGAAAAGAAGAAGTGGACATGGTTTACATCCTCAAGGAGAAGCTTGTTCACAGATCCAACTTGGACACCGGCGCGGGCTCCATTGAAAATGAGTTGGAGATCTGTCTGGCCAAAAGGTTTGTTGTGGAAGAGGGAGAAGTTGTGGATGTGGAGTCTGGTGACACTGAAGATAACACTCCTTTCTTTGGTTGGGATGAAGAAGAATAGATAATACATAGTAGTAGCCATTCAAGATGGAAGTCTTCTTGTCGCGTCGTTCGTTCATTCGTTCGCGCCGTGGAAGAGTCTCCGTAGGCTCCGTGGAAGAGCCAGTCAACAGTCATCGTCGAACGGAAATCGCTCCGTGTCATGGTCGAAGAAGAAGTCAACGGAGGTCGATCGATCCGTCGAACGGAAGACGCTTGTTGCCATCGCTTGTTGTTGCAATATCGGTAGTGGCGTCATGGTCGCTCTTTCGAATGGTAGTAGCGCCATGCTCCGTGAAGAGGCTCCGTGGAAGCAGGAAGAAGAAGTCATCCGTCGAACGGAGGATCGAACGACCGAACGACCGAACGACCGAACGACCGAACGACCGAACGACCGAACGACCGAACGACCGAACGACCGAAGCTGCCGCTTTCCAGCCTAGCCAACCAAGAGGAGCCTGTCATGGTGGTGAGTAGTAGCCTTTGTTAAGAGGAGTAGCGGCTGTAAAGAAGAGGAGGAAGCATCATCTTGATAGAGAGTAAAGAAGAAGAGGTATCGAAATAATGAAAAAGAAGAGGTGTACGAGTGGCTTGGATCGATCCGGGTGATGTCAGTTGAGCTTAAGGTTAAGGCTATAAATCCCTTAAGTCTTTTCGAGGAACGTTCCAGGACGTTCCGGTTCGCATTCGAGTGTCGTACCGGGAGCGGGCTTGCGTTTGTCTCGATAGCTTAGGTTCAGCCTGTACGTCAATGGCAACCAATTGACGTCAGACTTCAGTTTTGGGGTTCTTCGGATAAGGGGGTCAGGGTTTTTACGGGGGGTTTACATGTAGAGGAGGTGGATTATCTGCGGAAGCCAGCGAGGGCCAGGCTTTTAAAAGCTGAAGCGGTTCAGTGGGATCGGGCAGGGGCGGTAAATTGAGGACCAGTACAGGGGCCAAAGGGCTTGGCTTTGCGGGATCAACGGAGAAATAAATGGGTAGCTTCACAAGCAATAGAGATGTGGGTCTGCATGAAGAACATCATTTGAGAGTAGGAGCAGAAGGGGAGTTATCAATCTATGGAAACTGGCAGTGTGGGAAATTCAGGACTGGCTCTAGCTAGTACCGGTAGAATGTAGCTACCTCTAGCTAGAGAAGTTCTTCCATGGGATCAGGGTGGACAAACTGGGGAGCAATACCAGGGCCCAATGGCTTGGGTGCAGATGGCCGATACAGGGGGTGATAGAGAAGGAGGCTGGAGTAAAAAGTAACTGCAATCGAACGCTCTACCACTGAGCTATAAACGCGATGGTTTTACGCCACAGCGCCCACGGTGATTCGAACACCGGACCATTCGAATAATGCTGACAGCTCATTGGGCCAAGTCTCTTCCAGACTTTGTTTATCAACAAGCTACATACATGTAGACTACCACAAGAGGCTGCCATTGCTGCTGACATGTTGATGATGGCTCAACTATGCATAGCTAGCTAGCTACATATGATTGGAAATCTTCTTTCTAAGGGTGTGGGTGTTTTGGTTGTGGGTGCAGACAATGACAAGGCGGCTCTATTATAAGTCAAAACCCCTGCCAACGCAGTCGTCATCGGTGTCCTTGCAAGCACGTTGAGATACCGTACCAGCTTTTGAAGGGTACGAGGGGCACAGAAAAGGCCTACTGGACTTCTGTCTGCCCTTGGCACCAATCAGTTGCTTGCAGGTGCAGCCGAAGGGTTATATAAAGCAATTCCATGGAGTCACTCATTGCTTCATGGGCGGAGGGTCAGCCCACTAAATCAGACCACCATGCCCGGTCCAGTGCGAAGGAGCACACTTCCTTACTATCATCCGGGACCAACACTCTGCGGCCACGAGGAGTGCTATCCCATTTTGGTTTGGGAAAGCTCAAGGAGCAGCACTGCAGTGCCAATACTACAGGTGGATGAGGAGAGTAGTCTTGAGCGTCTTGAACCCCCCGATTCCGGACTTTGTCCCAAGTCGAGTCTCCACTTTGTGGTTGTTGTGGTTTGCCATTCATATTGTTACAGTAGTACAGGAGATCTCCTACGAGTGGCAAGTTCAGTGCGGCAAACTGTCCTCGGATCTGGTGTGTGCGTCCCGTCAACAACTCCACGGTAACTTCCATGACTTTTTCTTCTTCCTGTGTATTGTTGTTGTGCTTATTGCAGCTGCCTTGCAGTGTACCAATGGGTCCAACCTCGATGATTCGCAAGGCACACTGCTGCCAACCGATTCTTGGCTCCAAGACGAATGGTTTGGGAGCGGCAGACTTTGGATCGGTATAGTGAATCACCAATGATTGTTTGCTGTCGTTGTGTCGGTAATACTGTTGAATCAGACTTTCACGGGCTTTGGTGTTTGGAACTCGAAGTAAACACTTGTACTGCTTGTGAATTCCACTGGTTGTCCTATTTCCGTCGTTGTTGTCATTGTTGCTGTTTTGCAGTAGTGTCTTGTCTTGCAAGAGGCGTCCCATAAACGAGGCAAATTCCGATCGCATGGCCACTACCAAGAGCCCTTCCGTGTCAATATCCAGTCGTTGCGGGAGACTGCATTTCTTGTTGTTGTGTTGTCGCTGAAATTGCTGTTGCTGTTGTTGTATTGAGTACAAGACATTTTCGACTCCATTGTCCACGGTAGCATGGGATGGCAGACCACTGGGTTTGTGGACGACGCAAAAGCCAAACTCAGGGTCGTAATGTTGAATCGCCGTTGGTGGCTGTGTTTGTGCCGCCGATTGGATCGTAGTGTGTTGCATTAATGGAAGAGTCCAATCAACGAAAGCCACGGCAGGAAATCGACTAGGACAATAATGCACTCGAAGGGATTCTTCTGCTCCTTTGTTGTGTTTTCTTGTATTGGCGGAAGAGGCTCCACAGTAGTAGGATACCTGGTCCATGGCATTTTGTTGGAACAATCGTGTCCGTTTCCACTTGCTCTGGTGATGTGCCGTCTTGGAGAGTCGCCATATGGATCCCAACCCGAGCAATTCCTCTGCATCAAGATTATTTGGAATAGCGTTGGTTTCTGGTTGGATTTCTTGGAGGATGATGTGTAGTATTTGCTGTACTGTATAGGATGAGGCGTCAACTACTACTGATGATTCTTCCGAGACAGGTGCACAGATGCGAGCAAAGACGGTCCGTGTGGGAGAACCAATCCCCTGAACCTGAAGAATAGCGTTGCCGGAAGGAAGCTTGACCTCATGGGCTCCCTTCCAAAGGTCATCCGTGTCCTTCCCTCCATCATCGCTCATCGAATTCAACAATTCCCCTAAGAGTAAGCTATCAATCCAACCCTTTAGCTAGCAAGTAGGCCCCTTTGTCATCAATAGCTCTGCCTCTCTGGCACAGGAAGGCTTCAGGCCGATCTTTCTTGCCTTCCGTGATGACGTCATCCTCATTTTTTGACTAGACTCGTGACTCATTTAAATCCAAAGAATCGAATCTTCGCCCTCGCCAAATCGAATCTTCAATCTCTTCTCCATGTCGCATGCCACCGCGCCAACACGCCAACTCTACGGTAGCCCATCGCGTCGACAAGATGGACTGCCAAGGGGTCTCAATCCATGCATTGTAAGGTATCTAACCACCACAAGAAACAGTTCAAAGATCAGAAACACTACGATGAAGCCACTTGTGAACGTTGCCATCACCCAGATCCTCCTGGTTCTATCCACTATCACAGGTAGTATTGTGAAGATAAGAGCCTTTCATGTCCCGACCAAACTTAATAATCCGCCACTTCATGTCCAAAGCAAAACATTTGCGAATCAACCCAGATTCTCCCCTTCTATAGTATCATCCTCCACAACCAGACTGCATGCCATTCCTACCGCTACTGCTAGTACCATGAGCCAGATTCTACTACGAGGCGGTGCCGCCGTGGCGTTGGACATGAGTCGCGAAGGGTACAAACTCCAAAGTATGGCCACGTACAGTACCATTACCGCCCTCATTATGAATGCCTGTTTGCGTCTCTACACGAGTCAAAAATTCTCCTCCAAACACAACAACAAGAATACGCGATGGACGGAAAATGCCTTTATTGCGCTGACGACCACGTGCATTATTTGTGGGGCGTTTACTGCCGTCTTGTTTAATATATTGGGCATTTACAGCAAGGAATCACTCGGCATGCGCAATGACGCCGGATACCTGGCATTTCAAACCGCCACGGCCGTGTATCGCAAATGGGGATTCCGAACGTTCCTCGTGACGTGTTGGTGCTTTGTGGGAAGCTTTTTATTGACCGTCTACGAAAAATCCATCCAGGAATGTCAAACCACATTGGGACGAGTGGTGCTGGTAGCCAGTGTCATCATGGCATTGGTGGCGGGATTCCGAATTCACGAAATACTCGTGTTGGCCACCAAGTTGATTTACACACCCGCGGCTTGTAAACTCAATCATATTGCTTAGCTAGCTCTAACTAAGTGGGTGAGTGCTATCTTAATCGGACAAGTTTTGAGGAAGAAGAAGAAGCACAGCTTCTTGCTCCAACCACAATCATCAATTTTACCTGAACATATTATTATATGGGACATGCTGCAAGAAGCCAACGATCGTTATGGAAAATTGCCCCCCTCAAGGCTGTCTGTCTGTTTTGATCCCAAACAAGGTCCGTTACTCTACTTCGTCTCGCAACGAGGGCAAAATTGGGCTCTATCTCGCTCGCTGAGCATCAAAACTCTACGCGACAAGAAGTGAGGTAGAGCTTATGTTGCTATGTTAGATCGTGTTTAGTAGATCATTCTGTCTATCTCTGTTACGCTTCCTCGGGACCGAGAACACCCTTGTACAGAATCAAATTTCCATACAATGCCGATTCACCCGTGGCTACCACCACATATGCTTTTTTGGCACGTTCGTAAAACGCCATGCGTTCCACCTCTTCCAAGACAATGTCGTCACGCTGTTCGGCTTGCTTCAAAATACGACGAAACTCGTCCCATACGGGAGTTTCAATGGTGCCTTGATCTTGTGGTGTCACTTGCATCACGGCGGCGGGATACGGTGTGTGCCGGTCCAATGGCATGAGCTTGCAAATGGCTTCCAGTAGTTGAGGGACCGTCAAGGAATCACAACGAATCAGTTCGGCGTCATTAGCCTTGGCGACGGATGCCGCAGGAAAATTGGCGTCGCCCAACACAATCATGTCGCCATGACCCATGGATGCCAATGCGTACAGGAGACGAGGAGGAAGGATCCTAGGAATGCCTTTTAGAATTGTCATTGTCGTCTACAGTACTACTGCAGCTAGCTTGTCTTCCTTTGTGGCTGGTTTGCTCGATCGTGAATGTTACCAAAGTGGACCATCGAGAGACAATGTACCGGTATGTGTTCTGCTCTTCCAAAGTTTGCCAGATGGTCGCAAAAGATACTATACACACGACTGAATGTCCTTCGTTTTGCAGTTATCGGTACATGTACTGGTACCAGTACATGTAGGTGCATCAGCTCAACCCAGCACAGCGATCTGCATCATCCTGTGTAGATCACAAAAAGACATCGTTTCGCTCGCTCAAGCCGGTGATGGAAGTGAAAGCCAGGAGAGATGCCGATCAAACTATGGGATCAAAAATCGTCGCCTTCGCACTCCGGGTCTTCTTTCGTTGTCATTGTTGATTGCCCTTTCACAGTAATATGCTAGATCTGCTCCTAGAGCGTGTTCGAACTTAGGATGCCATTCGAAAGTACAGTACGATCATGTTATTACAGCTCTTCATCTAAAACGTCGGCAAAAGTTTCTCCAATCTTCTGCATATCGTCCAACTTGGCAGCTCGAATGGCCGCCAGCGGAGTCATCCCTTCACGCAGAAATTCGTAGTCTCCACGGTTGCCTTTGACATGCTTTGAAACAACCTTTTTGAGTTGATCACTTGACCAAGTTAGAGCCTTCCAACTGGGTTTTTCTATTTCTTCACGCGCTTCAAACGCACTACCATCGTGGACGGCTTGAAGAGGCAATAGTTTGCCCCACCCATTGAGATAGACTACTTCATCTGCAATATTCTCTCTTGACGTCACAATGATGAGATACATATCTCGATTGAGACATTGTCGCATGAAAGAATCCATAGCATGCTTGTTTTCATTCTTGTCACCCAACTCATCAAGAGAAGGACCGGTGGCAGCTCATTCTGTCCAGACCCACGCGCCATAGCGGCTACAAGACACTTGGGCCAATTTGAGTTGTAGTTTTAAACACTGAGGTTACCTGCGACATTTTCAACATAGGTGCGGCTCGCCCCCATTCCGGAGACATAGATAGAGCGCCGGTTGGATTCTTTAGGGTCTTCTTGCAGAAGAGTCGCCATGCCGATTGGGGAATAATTGCGGAAGCTTTTACAGAGCATGACATGTACCATTTCCCTCAGGGGTACCACTCGGATTCCAGGCAAATATTCAAGAGGAGGGCAATGGACTTGAAGCCCGGGTGACTTCCACCGCAACCGGGCAACCACGAAAAAGTCGCCCAAGTCACCCAAGTGTTTACAGCGTTCCGGTACGAGAATAGGATTCGAAAAGGGAGAAGTCCCAGGGCACCAGGTACCCAAACTTCTTGTCCCTTTCATTTTGCGACTCTACTACGCCAAGCTCCTCACAGCGTCAACCAACATGAAATTTTCCTCTGTGCTAGTAGACAAGTGGGGGAAGCACCGGAAATACATCAAACTAGGCTTCAAGTTCTTGGTCCTTGGGCTTGGCTGCTTGTCTCCAGTGTTCCTCGAATCAAAACAGTCTACACTCTTGCCTGTGCTTTTTGGTCAAACTCTCACCAACAAACTGGCGACCTTCTGACATCAGAATCACACGGATATCCCTGCTTCCTTTTGGTAAGATGGCTTGCAGTGATCCAATACGTGATTGACATGATATGGTACATCCAGCAAACTCACAGGATCCAATGATGCCACCACCTGTCTGCTCTTGTGATCATGGCTCTTGCAGGGGAGCAAAGGTTTGCTGTGGCAGGCATCTGGTTGGCCTACCTAGGCTGGGCTCCCTTTGACGCCTTTGTTCCCAAGAACATGGGAGAATCCAATCAGGTAGTGTACGTAGCAATCCTGATGGCCGCTTCCGTTTGGTTTTCTTTTTGGTCGGTTGTGATTATGAATGGAATTGGTCTTGCCGCTGTCATGGAGGCCACAGCATCACAACTTTCCTTCCAAGGGCACCTCTATGTGACGCTTCCAATCATGGGACTCATTGCATTCAACCTTTGGACCCTTGTCAAGGTGTCGAAGAAAGTGGCCAAAGCCTTGTGGTCGCTTTAGATGCATAGAAGCAAGGTTATCTTCATGATATGCGTTCACTACTACGTATCCTTACTAACTACTAGTACCAAGCTTCAGTTCACTTATCCTGCCGACCAAGAGTTTTTCAAACGAGTTGCCTCGCGCTCACCACTTTCGTGTATAAAGGGGGTTTAGCACACCGGTAGCAGTTCCTTTGCTTCAGCAGCAATCAAGTCCATTCAGTTGTATGGTAGCTGCAATGCCCAAGCTCCGATCGAACCCTCGTACCATCCATTGACTTCCATCATCGCCATCATGCGGCTGCTCTTCGTTTGGATCGGGTGCATTGCCAATAGCCAGTTGCACCGCTACAAAGGCCATGTACGTGGAAGGGAGTCTCCAATAGCAAGTAATATATTTGAATCAGTCTCTATTTATGCATACACTATTTCATTATCCATACATACACTTTCTTATTAGCCTAGCAAAATGACTGTGGTCAGGGTTGGCAGATACGCGGCCCTTCCAAATGCCGCGGCCTTTCCGCCTTGGGACTGAAGATTCAGCACCTTCATTCGAGCGGCATGGACATCACTGGGGACATCCGTGATGAGTCGATTGTACATTAGCCCTTTGAGTTTCTTGTGGAGTTTTCGGTCCTGCTTGGTCTGAATGGGATGATCCTTGGTGAACAGCAGCTGCTTGAGAGGACCCAGCTTGTTCAATCGATGATAGACTTCAATGTATGCTTCTTGTGTGTAGAAATGATAGTAGCCAGCAGGGAGATCCTTGCGCTTGGGCATCCAAATGTAGTCTGGCATGGTACCGGTGGGTTTGAGGGCGGCAATATAGCAGGGGGTCCCATCGTCCGAGGACTCTTCGGGCATGCGCCATTTGCCTCGCTCCATTGGCGTGACGGCATATTCCGAGTCGAGTTCGGGGATGAGCTTCTTCATGAATTCGTTGAGCTCTTGTTGCTCGGCATTCGGGCGAAGATAGTAGGGCTTTGGTGTTGTCATTGTTGTGTTTGTGTTGTTGTGGTTGCTTGTGATTCTGTTTTATGAATTTGATGGGAGAGGGGTCCATGGAGGGGTGGGTTGTGGGAGCGATTGCAGCCGACGAAAGATTGGTCTTGCTAGCTACATTCTTGTGGTGGCTTGGTGTAAAAGGCTCGGGCTGCTGCAGTACTGTTCGATTTGATTGAAGATTCAATCTTGCTCTGGCAATCTTTGTTCGTGTCCGGACGAAGTATGGCCCGATGAGTGTCATTTAATTTCTAATCGCACACTTTCCCAATGTGGCAAAGCCAAGAGGGCTCCTTGCAAACAGTTCGTTGTCACGTCATGGTTCGGTGTCTGGCTTGGAACTGTGCAGGAGTCGTGAGGTGCTGGCTGAATCCGGGTGGTCTGAAGTAACCTACAGACGGAAAACAGCTTGCAGCTGGCTCTATTCAGTTGGTTACCGCAAGAGTCACTGGAAGTTGTGCCAGAACGTGCCAACAATCAACGCTTCTGGGATTCACGGGTGGAACGACATCTCTCGAAGTTGTCCCCTCCAACGGTAGCAGCCTTGTCCCTACCGTAGCGGGGAATTCTTGGGCTTTGCGGCTTAGGCTTTGCGGCGATGGAGATGCAATGTGTCTCATTGCTCGGCGCAAGCTGGGTCCGTGCTGGGCCTATTTCGGAAGGCATCGCAGGAGGTTCTTCATGATGCTTTGGCTCTACAGGATGGTTTCAGGTTGATTGGTGTTTGTTCTACATTGGTGGCCGAGCCACGCGTGGCTTCTGATGTCGTACTAGTTAACAACCAAATAATGAAATTGAATTTATCAGTACTACTGGAGCTATTCTGGGTTTGCAACTCTGCAAAACACCGTCACCCAGGAGACAAAAAGAAAATCCAGTCTTGCTCAAGGCAGGCTGAAAAATGCACACTCAAAAGCTGCTGCATTGTTTGGGAGCTGTGCTCTCCAATTTAAGGATCTTATCCTGGAGGAAAGTAACCCGCCCATACCAAGGAGCACTCTTATCAACTATTTCAGCAGATGCCTCTTCCTCGTGACCCAACAGGAGATCGTTGAGCTCTTTTTTAGCTTCCTTCAGCTGAAGCGATGGTGACTTCGGAGGAGCATGAGCAACATACCATCCCAGCACAGGAGAAAGGGCACCATTAGAGTTGTCTTGGGCGAATCCAATAACACCAGCAAAGAATTCAATGTCGAAAGTGGTGCCATGATAATCCCAATCCACCGGCGCAGATGAAGCAAGAGGAGGGAATTTGCCAAGCTTCGGACCATAAAAGTACATCTCGTGCCAGGGCTTGAGGTTCTCATTGAGACTGCCTGATCCCAGATAAGGAAACAGGATTTGCATCCAACCTGAGATGAAGTTATAGGTTCCTGACCCTCCTCCTGTGTTGCGGAGCTTCACCATGGACTGCCAAAAACCATGGTTCACATTGCCCTTGTAGCTCTCCACAAATTCATCCAGTAAAGGCAGCAAAAGGGGCATCCAGTACTCGGAGAACTCTGCTGTCATCAGGCTCCCCAAATGTTCAGTTCGGGCACGCAACTGAACCCAGTCATCTTCTGCCCCCAACAAGGTGATTTGGGGAATGCCACACATGGTCCTCATGCCATAGCTAAAGTAGTTCTTCATGGCAGACATGAGGGTGATTTCATGGCAAGCCTTTGCTGTGGCTGTTGTTGTGGTGAAGCTGGCTGCAATCGCCTCATGAGTTGTCTTGCCAATGTGCTCCTTGATTTGACTTGAGAAAGCTGGAAAAATTTCAGTCTCCCATTTTTCGGCAGAAGCTCCTGTGTCAGGGTCTCCTCCCCTGCTCATGGCAAAGCTGGGATTGGTTTCCACCTCAAGGCGCTTCTTTCCTTCATGCTGCACAAAATTCTTTCGTAGAGCCCCAGCATTCTGGTCCACATGTTTGGCAAAGGCATAGGTGATTGCAACCCAGATAGAGTCAGGGGAGAGCTCTAATGGCAGGTGTTGGGCAAAAGCAGTCACCATAGCCATGACCAATCCGTTAGACCCTGCATGCACGAGTGTCTTGTCTCCTCTAATCTCAGACAATGCCTCCATCCTCACATCTGAAGCCATCACAGAGCCTGGCTCTCCTGGGTAGATAGGGTAACCATCAGAGTCTTTTTCTCCTCTGTCTCTTGTGTACGTTTCGGCCAGTGCTGCTTGTAGTCCCTCAATGAGCTCAGGACGAGAGACGGGAGGCTTTTGGAGGTGTTCCTTGAGGGCACTGGGTACGGTCTCAACATTAAACCTCACACCATCTCCTTTGGCAATGGACTCATGTTTGGGGGTCACATCAAAGGTGCTTGTGTGATCTGCACCACGTTGGATTCCACGGATTGATTGGCTTGGGTGGCTGCGTTCTCCAAGGTTATGGGTCACCCCTTGGGGAATTCGCTCTTTGCCCTGGAGATCAGAAGCAGCGTTTCTAAGAGCACGGTGCATTTTGGTTTGTTTTTGCTTTGCTTTGCTTTGCTTTGCTTGTGTATTGGTTTTATGGGAGTTGAAGCGGATGAGGTGAGAGTGTTCTTCGATCACAGTTAGTTCGACAAAAAGAGTGGTCTTGTCGTGTCTTCGTGTGGTTGGGTTGATGCTGCTCAGTCGGGATCTTCGTCCATTTGAGAAACAGTACTAGCTAGTACATACATGTAGTACTAATAGTGTTCTGTTCTTACCGGTACTGTGGCACGGAGGAAGCTTAGATCATGCGGAAGCCGGCGGAAGTTATTCCGGAAACAGCATTCCAATCTGATCGCACACTTTGCCAAGGTGGCGGAGATCCAAACGCTCACATTTCAAATCGTTCTCGTTGGTTTGTTTTGGTTGACACCAATAACCAGAACACCCCTTCATTTCTTTGTCGTTTCGTCCATATCTCTTTCACAGAACAAACTCAATCCAATCCAAGCAACACTCTCACTCGTAATAGCAAACATAGAAATAACCATGACCTGCCTTTGGGGAGCCGCCATGGCCTGTGCCATTCGCACCGAACTGAGCCAGAAGACCCGAGCTACACTAACGAGACGATGGGTCCAACGATCATCGAACAGCAACAAGAAGAAACAGCAACCCAAAAACGGGAACCCTGCTGTCGCTCGTGCGGCGTCCAACATGTACGCCATGGAAAGTTTTCCTCCACAACAATACATCTTTGATGCCGCCAAAGTATTCTAGCTGGCAAGACAAGTTGGGTAGGCATACAAATACGTTGTGAACATGAGCAGCAAGAGTCCCTTCCATTCCATTACCGCCACATCTCCTTAGCTTCCACGCCCTTGCCGTTGGCAAACCCGAAGGAATACTCTATAGCAAACTCCCAAAGGTGCCAGGTACCACCATACGACTGTACTGATTTATTGACTGCACTCACTGGATGCATGGGTACCGTACGTCCAAGCAACGACAAAACCTCTACATTGCTACACAAACCCACATTTCATGGATACGTTGAACGGAACGATCCTAATGGCTTGCTGTCTCATTTATCTGACTTAGCTTTAGCCGCCTAAAGATAACTAATTGAAATCTAGTTTAGGCTACTCTGAGTACGACTTGTCCGCCGTGCCGCTACCCAAAACGGATAACCCCCCCCCCCCAAGCATTGGGGCGGAGAGAGTTGGCGTCAGGAAAAGATCCGAGGCATGAAGTTAAGGGATGGGTCTTCTAGTAGTGGACCCATCCTCATTACCTCATTACCTCATTACTGCAAGTCGTTGGCGCCGATACTACCGGTAGCTAGCTACGCTACAGTTAGTTGTCTATGTTTACATTGCTGGCCTCCGAGTCATTGTCGGGCCCAAAGGCACCACTCGTCATTTCTGGTGCCCACAGAAGGCTGCTGCAAGTTGTCTGTTTTCCCGAATGGCTTAGTCCGCCACGGGCAAACCAGTTCTTGGAGCCAACCAAAACTTTATATCAGACGGCAACATGGCCATCTGTTCCTCAAGTGGTCTCCAGTGAATTGAGTGGACCAGGGAAAGTGGCACCTGGTCCGCTTGCTCCAACAGAAGCTCCATCTCGCGTTGTAGTAGCGGTTGCTTCTTGACCCACGGCTGTTTCAAATCACAGACATGTCTAGCTAACTAGAGCTGCATTCGTTTCGTCCCGCAAGATAACGCTATTCATCCAGCTAGTAGTCGAGCCTTTCGAAAAGCTAGCATGAATCAAGCATTTTCAGGTTGCGAACATAGATGAAACACTTCACAAAAGTCAAACGTAGCTAAACTTTCTTTTTGTTTCGTTACGCTATCATATATATATATATATACCGGTATGCATGCATCCACTATGAATGAATGAGTGACTGGCTGTGGCAAAAGGGATCAATACTTACAAAATATATAGCCAACAGCTCAGCCATCTTTTTCTTTCTCAATATAATCTTTCCCCTTTTACAAACAAACGTGACGCAAGAGCAGCATGGCTGGTTTTCTTTCATAGGATGCTACCAACGTTGCTCTCGCTCTTTCGTTTCTTCCTTTTCGTTTCTTCTTCGTCACACTACCTCTCACTGTCTCTTTCTTTCTCTCTCACTGCTCTTGCGTTTAACTCATGGCATCGACGGATGCCGAAATGGGATAAGCCATGGGCCCGACATTGCGAATGGCAACGGTACAGGCGTAGCCGGGTGTGGGAATGACAGCCGACCAGACGCGATCGTTGCCGTTATCACTGTAAATTTCGGCACACTGTTGGATATTGGACGGTCCCTGCCACATTTCGACTTTGGCATACATGGGACGTCCTTCCGAATACAATTCCACACGAATGGCTTGACACTCGGGGCCGACACTGAAGGTTTTGAGTGTTTCGCCTTGAATCGTCTTGGACTTGGCCAAGTTTTTGGATGGACTAAAAGTCGCTTGTTGCTGCTGTTTCTCGGCTTGTTGAATTTGATCGCCAATCAACTGTCCCCGGGTTCCATCGTACGATCCTTCCACACTGGCTTGGACGGGGAATTCCATGGGCCCGGTATTGCGAATATTCAAGACGGACGATCCTCCACTGCGGAGGGTATTTTGAAATCCCGCACTCCACGGACGCAAATTGCCGTCTTCACTGTAGAGACTCATACTTGCGGGTGTATTGTTGGGTCCTTCCCAAACTTGAACATTGGCATAGACGGGACGTCCTCCCACAGACCCCAACACAAAATTGGTCTGATCGTGTTGCGACGTATCCCACGTTTTGCGCGATCCCGCACCTTGAATCGTTTCCGCTTGCGGTTCCTCCATCTGAGATGTGCGGGGATAGTACGCATTGGCACTGGAAGGACCGCCAAAGAGGGGTTGACCGGGACTTCCGGCACCCGTCCACCAGTCTTCGCTGCTGACGCCCTGTTTGGGGGGATAGTAATAATCCGCGGCACTGCCCGTGCGGGCGAGTGGCTGACTGGGGGACGTGTCAATGTGCGGAGGCGCTCTGTCGCGGGAATAGGTACCCGTCTGAGGATTGCCCGGCATGGGTTCTCCCGTCAATGCCACGCCTTGACTGCCTTCTTGCATCCAACCACCGAATTGATCCGGAGCCTGATGCAAGACCATGTTCGATGTTCTGATAGCGGATTGCGATGGCATAACAAACGCATGTGCGGTCGGCAAGAGCAACAGGCAGCTCGCCATCATGTTAGTTATCCTGCTACTAGTATTGGAAGATGTCGTCATGGTGTTGTTGTTGTTGTTTGCAATTGCTTGTCTTGAAAATAGACAGAGAGTTTTCTCGTTCTAGCTTTGTTTGTTATGCTGCGGAACACAATAATGCAATGCAATGCAACATGCAACGTAGTCTAACGACCACATCCGCTGCCGAGAGGGCAAAAGAGGCAAGAGTCAGCGACCCTTCCGCTTTTGCTGACTGGAGAGCTTTGTTGTTGACGTCGTCCAAGGGAGGCAATACCATTCTGCAATCCTTGCTTCTCAGTTGAAGTACGTGGCACCAATGACAGCTGCTTGGTCTTCTTTCTTTCTTTCTTTCTTGCTTTGAGGCCTTCATCGAGGTGGCCGCTTTAGAAACAAACAGCAGAGCTGATAAACATGCTTTCATATGAATTGACGTCACACTCGAAACAGTTTAATTTTTATTTTTTTTAAAATAAGCAGTGCTGGATGACAACACTCCGTACCAGTACGGAAGCCGGTGGGGAAGAAGAGGCGTAATTTACTCATGAATACCCGGGAGCAATTGCTGTTGTCTCGGCTCGTCATGAACATGGGGGGTATAGTTATCCTTGTAAATACAACGGATGATCAGAATGTGGAGCTGGGGTTGTTCGTTACGGGGGTCTAGCTAGAGTAGGTAGAGTTTTTCGTCGTCGTCGATGATGATCATGATGATGACGGCATTAGTTTGGGCACGCTGAAGCAACACCAATGATAGTGCCTGATGACGATACAGCATACTACAAGAGTTTGCCCTCCTAGTCATTACTATTTGCTTCATCAGTTCTAACCAAAAAGCCAGCAATAGCCCACGACAGGAGTTTCTTCGCTACAGTACAGTAGCTAAGGCTGCCGCTGTTCTCCGGTCACATCCAGAGAGCCAGGGCTGCTCACACCAATGCTCAAAGGCTGCTGCTCTTCTTGTTCGGTGGAAACCATCTGGCTGTCGGAAGACATGTTGCTGTTTTGACCACCACCACCAATGGAAAGAGTACTGTTGACGGGAGGAAAGGTTGGCTGTTCCTCGGTTGTGCTGCTAGTGGTATCATTGCTAACATCTTCCAGAGTGCTGGTATTACCGTTGCTCGAAGCATTGCCGAGGGTTCCATTATGGCTGTCGCCAGCCATGTCCACCATAGGTGATGGTGGATCCGTCGCCACTGGACAGTTGCAATCACAACCACACAGCCTCTCAGTACAATCAAACTGGAGCATACAGGACTCTTCCGCATCCAAAGAGAACCACACACACGTCTCCTCGTCGAGAGAGCAAAGCTCCTGGGGAACTTGACCAGATAGATTGTTACCTGCAACATCCAGCACCACCAAGGATCCTTCCAAAGAATCATCCAATGGTTGCAGCTCTGCAGGAATCGTTCCTGTCAAGGAGTTGTTGGCAAGGAAGAGTCGGGTATAGGGAATTGCATCATGTCCATTGGGGAGGCCAAGCTCACTGGGAATTCTACCAGTGATGAGGCCATTGTTGCTAATGTCGAATCGGTTCAGATCCGAAAGCATGCCTAGTTGTGTTGGTAAGGGGCCCGACAGCGCATTCCATGAAAGATCCAGAGCCCAGAGCCTTGGAAATTCTCCAAGGCTTGCCGGAATTGTCCCTGTCAACAAGTTGTCATTGAAATGCGCCACCAGCATGAAAAGCCATCGCCTGTAATCCCAGTCTGGGACTGTACCGCTCAAGAGGTTGTTCTGTAGCCACAAAAGGGAAAGGCCGCTGAGCCTTCGAAGCTCTGTTGGGATGCTTCCAGTTAGACAGTTGAAATTCAGATTCAGAGTTCGGAGTCTGGAACAGCGGGCTAGTTCACTGGGAATGGGGCCCGTGAAAGAGTTGAAAGAGAGAAGGAGATCACGTAGTTTGGTCAAGGTCCCAATCTCCGTTGGGATCCTTCCACTGTAGTTTCCACCAGTGAGGTCAATCCGCTCTAATGCTTCTTGTTCCAAAAGCGACAATGGAAAAGAACTGGATCCATTCGGAGGACTCCCTCCTTGAATGGCAAAGTCGTCAAGTCTAGGCCAGTTTGTCGTATAACTTGGAGGAATTGACACGCCCAGAGGAATCCTCAGATAGGAAAGGTCCGTCAGTTGGTAGATTTCTGTTGGCATGACTCCCGACAGGTCCGTGTACCCAAGATCCAAGGAGACAAGATTTGTGAGGGTTCCAACCTCACTTGGGACTGTCAAATTCAGGGCAGCATTTCCATCCAAATCGAGAAATGATAGCCCAGTCAACAGGCCAATCTCAGACGGGATCGGCCCTTCAAGTAAATTGTTTGAAATTTCCAACCAGTCCAATGAGCTTGCCAATCCAATATATGTTGGAATGGTGCCATGTATGAATTGATTCCTAATAATGTCGTCACCTTCCATCACTAGCACTGTCAAGTTCGGCAACTGTGCCAGTTCCAGGGGGAAGATATTGGAGAAGGAAGCATTGATATCGTTGTTGTCAAGAATCACAGCTTGCAGACGTGTCATCAAGCCAACTTCCGGTGGCATGGACACGACGTTTTGCCTAGTTGGATTGAGAAACCCTCGCAACGCCAATACCGTATACATTCCGTCACTGTTGCAGCTGGAAATGTTCGAACCTGTATCGATTGTCAGCAGTAGATCCCTCAAAAGCGAGCCATCAAGGGTGAACGGTGAAAAGGTGAAACCTTGCTCAAAGAGGGGTCCAGACGTAATGGAACCATCCACGAAATTGCTGAACCAGAGACACTCTGAGACGCCATCATTCAACCAGTTGTCAGATATAATTGGCCATTGTTCACCCGCAAAGGAGTAATAGAAAGATACCAGGGCAAGCAACTGTCTTCTTCTCCAGTCAGTCATACTTTGGAAATCTGTATGGTTGGAGAGCCAATCCAATGCTTTCGATTGGGGAGACAAAGTATCTTGAATCCTCGTTTGGGAAATGTTTGGTAGGTTTGACACAAAGAGGTCTTCTGTGGTGGTTGGCGCGTTGGTAGGTGATCCTGAAGGCGCCATGGAGAAGGTTGGAGCAGAAGTATTGCTGTCGGCAGGAGCCACAACTTGCACGGGTGGATTGTCCTGACGCAAGACAAGCCAGAGTACAATTGCAACTACGACCGCCAAGATGATGCATGCACCGCCTACGAAAGCTCGGTTGCGAAACTGTTTTCGGTGCTCTGATCTTTGTGCTGCCTTTTGTTCCAGATCTACCGGTTGAGCTTCCATGAGACCTTCTGGGGGGTGCTCTTCTTCCTCGGGAACGGGCCTAGCTTCCACAAGACTCTCGTTAGGGGGAGATGGAGCCTGAGGTGATGGTAGTGGCAGAATGCTGGATTCTGCTTCGGTATTGGCATTGACAGCCTCACGTGTGGTTCCTTGAAAAGGACCCTCGGTGGTGTGGAACAGAGGTTCTTGCACCACAGCTTCTTCAGCAAGCAGACCTACAGCTTCCCCATACTGGACCATTTCATCGGAAGAAGAAGCATCCACTGGTGCAAAGGGGGGCGTAGTGGCTGTGTGGATCTCGGTACCGGGGGACGACGAGAAAGCGACTTCCTGGCGTTGCAGTACAGCCTCCGTAATGACATCGTCACTGTCTTCTCCATTGTCTTCTTCTTCATTCTCTCGATCCCATGTTGTCGGGAGACGAGAGCCATCGGGATCGGGTCGGACTCTGGAAGCTGCGGCACTCCGTTCTCTGGCAGTCCTCTCCTTCGTTTGCAATTGTGTAGGTGGGCTCTGGCCAAGACCTCGACGGAGCTTTTCTGGTGGCGTCGCGGCAGCCGCTTTGGATTCCAAATCTTGTTCCAACACGGAGTTCGCCAAAGACTGAGCGTTCGCGGAACTCCTCTGTTTTCGTGCCTCCTCCTTTGCTTCCAGCTCCTCTTGGCTTCGCCTTAAACCTCTATAGGAAGGTACCGGGATGTTGCTGGTATGATTACTTTTACTCTTCATTGTGTCATCTTTGACGTCCATTGTTGAACTTCAGGATATAAATGTATGTAATTGAAGCAAGAAAGTAACAGGAGAGGCTCAGCCAGTGGCAGCGAGAGATGACGTGGGACGTTTGGGTGGAGAAAAAGAACCATTGATTTACACCCGATCAAGGCACTAAAGTGCCAATCTTCAAAGGCTCCATTCAAGCAACGCAACCCGAGCTTTTGCTGACTACGGTACCGGAAACGGGTATGGCCAGCCGCCCAGCCCGAAACCCAGGTGTCCTTCACCTCGGCAGTCTTGCTGCAAGAGCCCTAACCCCTTTAATTGTTTTTCCTGCTACGTGGTCCCTGTAGGTTAAGGGTAGGGTTAGAATACAATTAAGTCACAAAAACTAATAAGTATCCTAAGCTAGGATGGCAACCGTAATATTTACATCCATCCTAGTAGGGGATCTGCTTCTACCAGGGAAAAAACTCTAAAGCCAGCGAAAGC